CTCTTAATTGTTCTTCTGAAGTTGCATCTTCTTTGAAAAAGTTATAGAAAGCATGGAAACATTGGGTGTGTCAGACACACATTTCAACTTTGTCAATACTCACACCTGTTTACAGTCAATGAGTTAAATGATTCCTGGTGTTTATAGAAAATATATTTTCATCAAATATCACCTTCCCTTAGTATTAAATAAGACATTTATTTGAATATAGACTGTGCTGCGTTCTCTTTAGAGAAGTGGACAGGCGTAGCCTACATCCAGTGGAGCTATGCCGGGTGTCCACTTCACTAAAGAAAACAACAATGCCATAGAAAGATAATAGCTTATGTCCCTTTTTTTCATAAAGTATTTTTTACAATTCTGGTGAGAGCAGCTCTTCTGGACAGTAGCCACCATTGATGTACATCCTCATGTTAACAATACCATTACACTTATAGACAGGCTCCTACTAACAGATCATCCCTGATTAATTACCCTCACATCTAAGTCAATTACCTCTGATTAACGATGTCCAGACTAGACACCTAGCCAGAACCATTACAGCAAGCCAGTTATAGGGATTATACCTACATATAAGCTGTCTCTATCTGTCTCTGTTTCTTAGCCAATTAACCTATAGTACTACAGAATTGGATTTTTTTTTCACAAAAAGGTCAAATTCATGCACAATGTAAACATTTCTCTTTTTTTGGTTGCGAACATGACTAATAAATAGCAGATGGTCAAATTTACACTAATTTTATGTACCTTATCTCAGATAATGAATAAAATGTCAGGATTAATGTCCTCAATCAAAAGTTAAATCATTTTAATTATTTGCTACCTCAGATTTATAGAACATCACTGATAGCTGAAGCTGCTTCTGAACAAAAATATTGTACCATCAGAGTGCCAATTAGGCAGCCATCAAAAAAGAGTCTACACCAAAATTAATCAGATAAGAGAGAAATAAAAGTGTTGTATATTTTATGTGTCTTCTTACAACCCCCACTAAATCGCAGGAAAATTGCCGAGGCATCTGATGAGATGTCACAAGTATCCAATGGCAGACTGTAAAACTGCAACAATCTTACAGCCTAAAGTTAAAAAAAAATGATATAGATACTTGCTTGTCTGCATTTTTTTTATAGTTCAGGCGAGGGCTTCTCTTGCCAAGGGCGAGTCCTTCATGATCTAAGCTAAGGTGCGTGTTCAGGTACATAACTGGTTATTTACGTTGATTGCTTACGAGTTCGTAATCAAATTGCTGGCCATGAAACATCTATAAACACAAACCTATATGGTTTTATTGTGAGGGAAAACACTATCAGTTTTATGATGATTGAGAATTTTTTTCTCCTTGATGACCTCAAGATTCGGATATGACCTTATTCCTTTGATGAACTAATGATTTGATCACAGGCTGCATATTCCTATGTTTAGGACAGTGTGAAGGAATTCTATGAAGATTTGTGTACATTTTTTAAATCAATTTGTCACAGCTGTGATCATGTTTAAATTAAAATCAATACATTAAGTGAACAGTTGATTTTGTTAATTAATGTATATTTACATATCAGAATGAATATCAATTAAGTGTAAATATCTATTTGAAAGGTCATTTGACTGTGTGATTGTCAACTTGATTGGGGGGGGATCTACAACATTTTGTAACACAATTCTATCATTGCCTGTGGTATAACAATATGTACCTTCAGACCAGTTTAATTTTATTCACCCAGACAAAAGAAAAAGAATCGATAAACACGTATCAGCAGAGAAAAAATATTTTTGTAGCAAATTGGGCATAAATAATATCACACGAGTGATCTCCATTTAAAGTGTGTGGTGACCTTCTCCACAAAGGGTGAAAAAAAAGGTGTGGGTCTGGCCATTAAACATTATAGCAAAGATCTCCAGAAAAAATGGTTTCCTCGCTGCAGATATCGATAAAATTACACTCAGATTTTGATTCTTTTGGAATTGCTTGATCATTATGATGATTGTTCAATAAACTTAAAATAAAAAAAAAAAATGTTTATATTTTCATAAAATGAAGGAAATGGCTCATTACTACTATTTTACTGATTAGGATATTTTTTTCATACAGCGAAAAAGTTGACATAGATCTACCTTATCAATACACAACAGTTTTTAAAGAGTCCTAAATGGATTTCAAATTTTCTTGAAAAACATTATTCCACTTTTTAAATGATAACCGAATACTTTAAAATCTAAATTTTGCGAACATGTGTGTGGTGAAAGAGAGTAAAGTACGTTACAATTTTCAGACAGCGTGTTTCTGATATAAAATTACCATTCAGTATGTCAATCATTAACTGGAAATTTGTTTTTAATATGTTTGTATAAGAATCAGAATTATCAGACAACTGCTCGCTGATGATGTGTTGATGGTTATATGGATACATCAAATGATTCAACAATATTCTAAGATCTGCGATCATCAAGGTTTTCCTCGTTTTCATTTTTCTTCAAGCTGTACTAGACTCGTTAGCTTTGAAATTTCTAACCCATTAATTTTTGTTCTTAAATTAATCACACAGCACATCATATAGAAAGATATTACACATATGATGGTAATTTTCTAAAATGTTTTTGGATAATATTTTCATCAAGATTTTCTTTTTAAAAAGTGGTGTCTAAAAAACTTGATCTCTTGCCAAAACAACAGCTTTTTGTATCTACATTACACCTGTAAACTCAAAATTGGCTGATCACATAAATTTTAATGGCCACACCTGATTTCCTGTTAAAAAATTCTTTTCAAGAAACAGCGGGGCACCATTTCTCCAGCTTTTCAATGACTTTTTTTTTTATGCAAGTAAATTTTTAAACAGTCAATAAAATCATCAATATTTCAAGACACATTGAAACAGGTGCTTGGGATTAAATGAGATGTATGATGTGATCATGTCTGACATTGTGTATGCATAGAGAGCATCCTTATAATGACATGTACACTGCAATGTCAGAAACTGAATCTGTAACAGTAGCCATCCTCAAACAGGCAAATCAACAGAGGATGAATTTGACACTGCATGTAGTAGAAACTCACTGTGAATAAACGATTTTTATTTGTACAAAAAGTAGAGAAAAAAAAGTATAATTTTATACTGCATACTGTAGATTCCTAAAATGTGTGTGAGAAATTTATTATCGTGAAATTCTGCGAGAAGCACCACCACGAAATATAATCACTCACTTGCAAATTTATGTTCTCAATATTTGAGGTCTAGGAGTCATTTCGTGATATTAAGTACTCACGAAAATATGGAAACTACAGTATGCAAATCGTTTGAAATAAGATTCAAAGGACAGCAAAAAAACTGTAAGATTTCATATTCTTTCACTTGCAAAAATGGAGTAAATCTTTCAATAAATCAGTTGCCATTCCAATCCAACACTATGTTCAACACTCCCTAACATAAGTCAGCAGAGAATGGCTCATACACTTCAACAAATGGCTTGCGAGGTTTTTTATGAACCACTAATGTCAAACAACTGCCTTCTCTGTCACCTTGTTTCCACACCTCACCTTGTCTATAGAAGCACCAACCAAAGGAAAAAAATCCAACAAGCATACATGTGTGGGATTTGTTGTTGATTTTTTTTTAACTCTGAACCCACATTTACATTTTATTGCCCAAAATGGAATTTCGGTCCTCAATTTGTTTCCCATGCATAATCTTGTACTTTTTTTTATAAAGCTAGCTCCCCTTAATGATTTCAAAAATGCATTTTGTTAAAATGAGCACATTTATTACAAACTAATCACATCTGTGTGGTTTAACATTCCTGGTAAGTTGACAACAATTTCATTATTCCTGTCTAAACTGCATGTTTATCAACAATGTGTGAATATTTGTGCTGGTGAGAAAATTGCATTGTGACAAAATATTCTGTGGGATTTTTGTAATTCACTGCAAAAACATTTCAATGAATCAAATATTAAAGTGGTCAGCATCACGGGCTATGATATGCCATTCCAGGAAACTCGTGGCTAAATTACCACGCCACAACGGAATTGTGGTAATAATCTAACTTAAGTAGATAATCAAGTGTTTTAAACCCAGATTTACCATTATCCCCCCACACGAACAAGTGCAAAATATGATTTCCTCCAACACAGGGTCATTATTAAATCGGCAAAGTTTAATCATTAGGTTGGGAAGATTTAATCAACTTAACATTGAAATTGTTTGCATTAGAAAGTAATTAAGGTCAGGGATTAAAAAGGAAATTATTTCAATTTCTCCCTAAAGGCATGTTTTCTTCCAAAAGAAGGATTATTAAATCAATGCTTTATACAGACTGTGATACTTCATTACAAAAACTATTTCCTCTTAAGAATCAAGCACCGTGTTTGTATAAGAACTAGGCACAGCTTAATTAGTTTAAAATTCCTTAATTTTTTTCAAAGGGCTAATTAAATATAATCAGACAGAAGTTTCTATAGATTGGTCTAAGCAGTTAAGATATTCACAACTGTAGTGTATATTCTATAATTATCAGTTAGCAGTTTGGCATAATACCCTGCTAAGACTTAAAGAAAGTATGTACATATAATCTTTGGTTCTGGATTTTTAGTTTCCCTTTGATCTTGTTTACAGTGTGCTTGTATGGGTGTGGGAATGAAAAGTTATGATAATTATATGATTATATGATTAAACTGTATTTCCTAACTTTTTAAAGAAAAAATCACACCTTTGAATAAACATGTAAGTTAACATAATTATCAAATTATAATTATTCACTGGTAAAGGTGATAATTGTTTTCTTTTCACTCAAACATTAGAGTACACTGTTTCAAAATAGTAATGCTTTAAAATTATTCTGTATTTTGTCTTAAGCAGGAAAACTTTAAACTAACGTGCCTTATCTCCTATATTACAGCACTATTTGTAACACACAAGTTTCACCTGTCATTGCATAAGTTGTTTCCCTTTACATTAGGAAGTACCTGTGCAGTTCTGTACTATGTGCACAAACTAAATACTTACCTTCGTATTGTACAATATGGTCCATCACTAATTTCTTAAGGTATGCATTTTTTGTGTGTATTGTCTTTCGCAGAAACTTTTCTGCAGCGGTGACATAACTCAACTCGGAAGCCTTGGAGCAGCAGGATTTTTCACTTTTATCTTTAGACGCAGCATTAAAACATATTGAAATGTCACCATCTGAAAAGATTAATACATTCGTAGAACTAGGCCTCAGTGTTTTATTTTACAGAGAACTGTAAAATTATTTTTTAAATTTCTTTTTATGGGGAAAAAATAACAGTACTGTAATTCTAAATTGGATTTTGTGCAAAAAAATTAAATAAACAAAATTAAACGGAATAGTAAAAAATTAAGGTATAAATACTTTTATTAAGTAATTTTGAAGCTCCTTAAAAAATTAATCCAACAATTCTTATAAAAACATTTTCATAACTATTGAATTACGAGTTACCATAAATTGGTTCACTCGGGACTAGACTGGCGGGACCGATGTGTTCCCGTAGGTAAGCCTGTTTTACACGATGACACCCGGTCATTTGGCTCCCACTGTCTGGATCCGCCAACGATACATAAAAAGTCCATAGAAAGAAGAACACAAAATACTGTCTCAAACAAGTTTTCGCCATTTTCCAAGTTATTACAGAATACTAAATCAGAAAACAAAAAATTTTGTCAAGTCTGTGAGAGTTGTTAACAAATACTATCACATCTCTTTTCACATGTTTCGCACACTGACATCAGCCTTCAGCTGTTCTTTCTATCCGCCGTGACACATTGAAAATGTTTGAGTAAACACTCCGTCGATTGATGAAAGACGACACGCGATTGGCTAGACTGTTCTTGTACGGAGGCGCATTATTGGGTATACATAAAATTAGTCATCTTGATTTCAATTGAAATTCCTTCTTCAAATCCCTCAGTGGGTGAAAACAAACAGTAAGCCATAGCTCAAAAAATATAGATTAAATAAAAAAAAATGTTCACCTATATTCTACTTTTAAAATTTAAAACGTCAAGGATAACGTACGTTAAAATTCTTTTACAATTCAAGATTCTTCAAACCCATTTTGTCCATTTTAGAGAGGGACCCAACAATAAATAGGGGTGAGGGTAAAAGATTTTATATTAATTATTGAGAGAAAAAGTGTAGGAGTTTGGCCAACAATCCGCTTTCAAACACTTTTTTTTCAAATAATGTTTATTAAACTGATTTTTACCACAGTTGTATTATTAAATCAAAGAAGAGGAACACGTGAATCTTAAATATGCCCTATAGGTCGCTTAAGACAGAATCCCCCTCCCCCGATGTAGAGGTGGGGTCTTCACCCCCCCCCCATTTAATTAATTATCTCAATACATGACGCATCTGTTCCATCAATTCGAAAAAAGTAACTATAACAAACATGTCATAACAAATTTTATCCATTAACCGGGGGTCTACATGGGGGGGGGGGGTTACCTCAGGTACCTAACGTTCTGACCCGATGGCAAAGCATTTGGCGAAAAATTAAAATAAGCTACATGTATAAGATTTGAAGAGGAAAGTGCTATAGACTGATACTATAGCTTACATCATTTTATTTAAATCATTCAAAAAGGCTGTAAACCCCTCTAAAAGGTGAACCCTTATATGCCCGGGGGGGGGGGGTCTTTATTGACGGATTGCCTGTCTCAAAACGCCAGACTTTCCTATGCAAACCAAGGAATTTGAGCAACTCCTACACATATTTATTGTCGTGATATTACGCTATACATAATGAAGTTTACCTGATTTGAACATTGTAAAAATTTACATGCATTTTGATCTAGTCAACCAAAAGTATAATTTTAAAAAATGTATTAAAAAAATAAGTAAAATAGTAGAACTATTTATCGCGGTCATAGAGAATATACTAGTAAATGAAATCTTAGATAATAAGTCAGTGTCTGCATCGAACGCCGTTTTTAAAAGTGCAACGTTTTTTTGTTTGTTTGTTTGGTTTTTTTTTTTGTAATAGAAAACAAATCCTACTGTTCACACATAACTTTTTGTTTTAGAAATATACTTAGATTCGAGCACATCAATAAATTACTTTTGTTGAGCTACACTTTGTGTAAAGTAAAGAAAGATAACTCTTAGATCTCGTAATTCTTGAATAAAGTGTTGCTTCCATTTCGTCATTTTCAAATGACTAGGAAAATTAAATAATTTTCTTCTCTTTGACGTTTTCCATCCTAAAAACTGCAATCTCTCTCTCTCTCTCTCTCTCTCTCTCTCTCTCTCTCTCTCCTTTGAATTCATGGGCGGATTTACAAATGGGAGGGGATTTAAAAAATTAATTGGTAATCAGAAATGAATAAAAATATCAAATACTTATTGTGGTGGTAGATGATAATTCTGATGGGCTACACTTGGTTCAAAATGTAAATTTATACTCTTAATTATACCCCCATTAAATTTTATATTTCCATTTTTTTTTACCCATAATTCACTTACAATCAAAAATGATAGTAAAATTAGGGTGCGAATGGTTCACCCCATTTAATTTAATCCATCTCTTTTCAGGTACATATATCCATTCAATGTTACAACGAAAAGGCAACGGAGAGATAAAAAAAAAATCCCGATCGTGTTGGGCAGAGAGTGAAATCGCATTGTCTGATTCAAATAGCTACAAAAGACTAATGGACCATGTACATGTATGAGTGTCGAGCATGCACTGACTGCATGATCAGCAGTTTTAATACTTTAAGTGAAATGACTTGACTTGCTACTGTTCTTGAATTTAAAAATAATCCAAAACAGACTCGTAGGGAGCCCTTTTTCCCAAACATAACCTTTTGCTGTTGAAAATGTTTATTAAAAGGTCGGTTGCCACCTCCCTTTTGCAGTATAATCAAATTGTCCCATGATAATGCATAACTAAATTTGTTTGTGGGAAAAGTTGGAATCGATCCCAGCCCCTCCTCCCTTACAAAATAGGATTTTCGAGTTTGGAGAATTTTCTTCTTTTTTGTGTCTCTTTTTTCTTCAGTTTTTCTTTATTTTAAGCTTGACAAAGATTTTTCAGGTAAGTTGCATTATATTTTTTCTGCCCCCCCCCCCCCATTTTTTTTTTTCAAAAACGATACTACAAGCCTGCAAAACGTTTGCTAATCAGAAGCCATGCAAAGCAACCATGAAAATCCGGACCGGTCCGAATATTTCGGACTACTTAGAGGACCATCAGTGTATGAATCTTCAACTTTGATTAATTTGTGATCCAAGAGTAACGATGGGACAATAAACCAATGCATTTCTAAACATGAGGATGTGAAAATGTCAAATCTACGCCTATACTGAGAAGTCGATTAACTCCAATCCACAGTAGACAATACTTGACAAGGTGCTTTTTTTAAGGTTCATCGCCCCTCTGCTTTGTATCAACGGTAATTATTATTTAAAAGAAATTTAATTTATGATTAAATGCACATAATTTCAGCATCCCTGGATTGGAAAATAAACATGAATTGTCTTTTAACTTGACAACAGCATAAAGGAATGATGGTCACTTATCCCAGTGAGAGTTAACTCCCTTACCTGAAGATTCAGTGAACCTTAAACCCATTAAGATGTTGCATTTGAATAGTGATAATACCCCCCCCCCCTTTACGTCGTCAGTGATTATTTTCTGTAGTTGTTAAATCTGACCAGCAGAACTGAACATCCTTAAGCTATTCTATCTGACATTTTCGTCAGCTACCTTCTGTGTCAGACAAACTTTTTTGTCGAAGAGTAAGCATCATCAATATATTCATCATAAACTGTTCTTGATTTTTTATGACAACGATCGACTGTATGATTCTGTGCCAGAGACAATATAAAAATATTGTTATATATAAAAAATATTGTTATATTTCATTTTTAACAATTCACATGTTACCCGAAAAAAAAACTGTAATATTTTTATACAGTTAACCATGAATGTATTGACGTCGGCGATAATATACATGTAAATACCGTATGTTTGTCATCATATACATGCACTCCTGCGAAAAAAGAGAGAAAAAAAATCATCGGCTGAGTAAAATGTAGGTATGCTGCCTCCATGTAACACAAAAATCAATTTTGGTTTCAACACCACAGACAATACTTATACAAGATGGTTTTTAAAGAAATTGTAACTCTCTCTCTCACACATACACATTTAAAAACGTAGGCGACAACAAATATCGAAGTAGAACATATTGTCTCCGTATTCAATATAAAGGAACAAAGAAGTATGTTCAGAGGGGCGACATGTATCAGGACAGTCGGCATATATTATCGCTGGCGACAATATAAGCAGGATTTGTTAGTTTGTTTCCGAATCTTTATTTCCCTCTACTGTACCTTTGTACTTCTAAATAAGATCAGGGGCCCGTATTATAAAACAACTTAATTACGACTAAGACCAAATACTTTACTTGTTTGTAAAATTTGGCAGAATTGATGATTTTGGTCAAAATTTCTAGCATAAGAATATCTTTCTGCATTCCTTTTAAAAAGAATAAAACTATTTTCAATTTAATTTAAATAGAAAGTTATACGCAGAATAAAATTTTGGTCTTAGTCGTAAGTTCTTTTGGAAAACGGGCCACAGGTACTTGTGGACAGGACTCCCCCCCCCAATATACCCCACGGGTAAAATATTTTTATGTATTTTTTTCATAAATTACTCTTCTAGTACACATTTACTCTTCTAGTACACATTTACAATGTATTCCATAAGAAAAATAAAAAAAAAAAAAAAATAGCGCAGAATTAACGTTTTTCTAAAAAAAAAAAATCATACCCGCGGTATTATAGAATACCGCGGGTAGGATTTTTTAGTAAAACGTTAATTCTGCGCTATTTTTTGGATTTTTCTTGCGGGGGGGGGGTCCTGTCCACAAGTACCTATGAAACGGGCCCCTGGATTTTGAAGCTAATGTATAAGTAGGGCGACAATATATATGCATGTGCTATTTTATACAGAGCATTCACTGAAACAAATGTGCAATAAGATCATCCTAAAATCACACTATATCTTGGAATAAAACGTGTAGTTTACTCCAATTAGAGTTATCTCTCTTGTCCTCAAACCTTTCTAACTACCGTCATGATATTAAATGTATAAAAGATTGCATCTTTGTTATTTCTGTTTGATTGAACATTTCATTTATCATCGTAAGATTCTACATACGTAATATTCTTTTTCGAAATAACCATGGTATATGTTGAAGATGAGTATCATTTTATTTTAATCTGTCCTGCTTATGAAATCCATCGCAAAAAATATATTGAATCTTATTACTGAAAAAAAAACCTTCAATGTTTCATTGGTTGCAACTTTTTAATACTGAAATGTGAAAGAATTGTGCAATTAAGGTAAATTTATCTACTTTGGCAAAAAAAGGTAAAAATAAATTATTAGAAAGAAAATAAAGAAAGAAAAAGAAGAAAATAAATTGTTAAATAATTATTCGTTGCATATATCATATATACACTGTTACATGTACATGAATTACATTCTCCTATAAACCTGTTTTTGCATGTTTAAGTGTATATTTACTTCCACTGATGAGCTATAAAGCTGAAAGTTATAAAGAACTGAACTGATATAATTTTAAACATTTCAGTTTATGTGGTTACAGTCATTAATACATTTGAAAGAATATGTAAATAGGTTTTAAACATGTTTATAAATGTTAGTTAAAAAAGTCGTACTTCTCAAAATTCATATTATAAGACATAACAACGGTTCAGAGTATTCTTGAAAATAGGCCAAAGGTCAAGGTCAGGTGACTCTACATCTGCCAAATGGCACAAACTTACCTCTAAAAAGTCAAACAATATGTGTATATCGGCACTGTGGTGTATTTTAAAAAGTAGGTCAAAGTACGCGAGGTCGGTAATCCTTGAATTTTACAAAAGCCATTCTGCCAACCAGAACATGAGCAAACTATCTTGAATCCCTATCTTAAACAGTTCTCAAGATATAAGATGTGACAGACGGACAGACAGACAGACGCCTGGTAAGGTAATCCCTAAGTGTCGATCTGCTCTGCAGGCGACACAAAAATAGGTCAATTCAGATTTATTTATAAAATAATGAGTCCTGTTTCAGCATTGACTTCCGGTAACACTGCTTTTTGACCCTATGGGTATATCGAAATTGTTGTTAAAAGTTAACGATACCAGCAGATTGGGTTATCTTTAAAAAAGTTGTTTGGTTGCCCTCTCCCGACCGATTGGCTACAAATGGCCCGACTAGAAACTTTTTTTAACCCTCCGAAAACATTTTTTATGCATTACGGAATATATATATATATATATATATATATATATATATATATATATATATATATATATATATATATATATATATATATATATATATATATATATATATATATATATATATATATATATATATATATATATAAAATTCAGCAATGATGTTAAAATTTCTCCGGGGGGGGGGGGCACCTACCAACCGACCCAATTTTTCATCTTGAGTCGGGAGAGGACAAACAAACTATTTTAAAATTGGCTCTGGTGGATTTTTTTTTTAATGCACTAATATGTCTTTTAGGGAATTATGTTACTGATTCAGTTTGCTATTTGAAGCAATTATTTTTTTCATTATATATATCCTGAACACGTCCTTTTATTGTAGAATGATTGAATTTTATGTTTATTGAATGTTTATGTTTAAATGTTTATTTTGTGATATAATATCGGCCCAACCTTATATATTTTTATCATGTAGGAATGGCATGTCAAAGGCTGCAATATTCGATTTTTTTTCATTTGTATTTAATAATTTTCTATTTGTATTGTATATTTCTCAATTTGTATTGTATAATTTCCATTGTATTGTAAGAAAATGTTCATTTGTATTGTATAATCTTTTATTTGTATTCTTAATTTTCCATTTGTATTGGGGTTTTTTCATTTGTTTTGAATAATTTCCATTTATAGTGTAAAAAAGATATTTGTATTGTGCAATCTTTCATTTGTATTGTATATTTCTTTTTATATTGTAAAAAAAAAAAAATCATCTATGGCATGTTTACAAAAGGAGTTCTATACCAAGTGTATGAACTTAATTTATTGAGGTTTCAATAAAACTATTTTAGTTGCCTTGGCCTTTTCATGAATGAAAACACAAGTGTGTTTTGATTGGACACACGTGTAAAGAAATAAACCAATCAAAAATTATCTTACATCTGTTGTGAAATTGTCTTAAACTCCCTCGCGGTAAACAGCACTAACCTTTTATGAATATTTCGTTGATGATATAGCTTAAAATTCATAAAATCAGATGTTACGTCATTAGATGTAGAATTTTAAAGATCGAACTGAGCAATATTTTATTCTTTCAACAGATAAATGCGAAATTCAGAAATCCGAAACTAAGCTTGGCTGTTCTTATTTCCTCCTGCGCCATAGTGAGTGTAAACACACACATGCCGAAAGGTTGATAGACGGATGGAGTGAAATACCTTTCTTTTTCGTTGAGGATTTATTCTTTGGAATATGTAAAGGATATTATGGACAATGTTTCGGAGAGTAAATTTTGGATTTTTTGTTTATAGTTAATAATCCCAGACTCGATCTATAGTTTCAATCAGCGAAATTCCAACAAGCAGTGGATAGTGATTCCAACTTCACAGAAAATGGCCGACATTCGAAGACAAGGGGTCGTTCAGTTTTGGTTAACATTATGTGTTTTTCTTATTTTGTTTGTTCTTGGGCATTGTACTCTTGATTTAGCTTGTATAGAAGTTAAAAAAGCATACACGGAAAAGGGTTTAAATGAAAATGAAGTTCCTATCCAAGCTATTTCGGGTAAGTCGGCTGATTCATCTGTTTGATAATTGAAATTTTCAAAAGTGTATTCACAAATAAAATATATATATATACATATATATATATATATCTATTTTAAAGCGTTACGGAAAATTTTTGATAAAAAATATATTAAGTGTTTCACATACAGTATTCAATTCATTATTGAAATTTTTAGAATGAGAGAAACAGAGAAAGGTTTTAAAGATATTTGTCTATCAGCTGATACTGTACTAATTTTCATATGTCATGACTTGTAATTTCCATGACTTTAAACATAATCAGATTATTAAGTTATTAGAGGTAATGTCTTGGTGCCATTTAGGCCACCTTTTAAAGTTTGAGTTAATGTGATTAACAAATGCCGAATATACACTAAGTAAATTGCAAAAAAGATTTATTACATAACTCATGTAATTTTGAAAAGATTCAATTAGTTGAGGTGTTTCTGTCCAATTTAATTTAATTCTTTGAAGTAAAGCTTAATTTCTATTGAAGTATGAATTCACGCTATAAAAATTCATAAATAAAAGGATAACCTACTGTTTAAGAAAATGTTCGTCATGCAAATTTTATGATCTGAGTGATATGCAAATTAAATTCCTTCTTAATTGATATGACATATAAAATATTTATGGAGAAAACTGGAATGAAGTTTTACAGTAATATTCTAGATATAAGATCATTCCCAGAACACAGATTAATACATGAAGTAAAGATGTTGAAATGGAGAGGGGGAAAAAGGATTCATTTGAAGTTTGGGTTGTTTTAGCAATATTAGAATGCTATCATATTTTGTATAAACATTTTTTTTCACACTATCATTATCAGATAACTTGTAATCCCAGGCATGAGCAAAGTTAATGGCTAAGGAATTATCTTTTTATTCCAACACTCTGTGGATGAATTTTTAAACCTATACTGGGCTACTTAGAGGTCAGCTGACCTACACTTTGTTGATTGCTGGTTAAACACTTGATAGCTGAAATACCAGACCAGACCCTGTAAATTAAACCCACTCCTTGTTCATAGAACATACTGGGGAAAAGATTAACTTGAAAATAAATGGAACAAATATTTATGTGCACGATACATATTAATCGGAGTGATTGGAAAAATGTCTAAGAATGTGATAAAGAGGAAATTGATTAGTTAAGGTTATTAGGGGTAAAGGTTACTCTGACTTGGGTAGAATACTGGGAATTTGACATATATAAGATTTTTTTTTGTTTTTTAAATAGAAATACAATGATATCAGTATGAAGAAATATTAATAAAGAACCGACAGAATGTCTACATGTACCCACTTAATTTTAAGTAATTTGGCAGGTATTATAAAGACATTTTTAATTGAAAATTTGTTTGTTGAAAGCAGGTTTTTATGACAGCTTAAGCCTAGTTGTGTTGATTGTATTACTGACAGGGGATTTGTCACATTGCCACCCCACAAGGAAGACATTAAAGAGAATTAACATACAAATTAGGACTACCAACAAACACCCCAGGACCCTTTGTCCCAGGGCAGCGGGTGGCCATATCACCTTGTAAACTTACATCATCAAGATTTAATTGTTGACTCTTTCTGGGGAGATTTGATAGTGTTTAGAACCTTCCACACATTATTAGGTGGGGTTAGGTTGTGCTATTGATACAGTGGTAAGATACTAATTCTATTACTGCCCTCTGGTGTCAAGTAGATAGTGCAGTCATTTGTCAGAGGAGCCAGCCATTAATTACAACACAAAAGGCTACAAAGAAAAATATACTTGTTTTACAAATGCAGTCTTCATTCCTGTGTCAGGGACTTGATTGATTATGACAAGTTAACAAAAATTCCATTGGAAATATGTGGTCAATTGTTTTTTTTTTCCTTTTTTTTTTTTGACTATTCCAGATTTCTTATTCTTAACATATTTGCTGGCAAAGAAAAACTACCTAATATTCACAGATTCCACAGAACAGTTGCACTACATAAAAATAAAAATCTTCAGAAATTGTTCATTTAAAAAATCTTATTGAAGGTGAAAGCGTTGTCAGATTAACCAAGCTAGAACATGCATCTAGTGAAACCATTTTTAAATAAAAAAAATTTCAGAGATTCTCCTTGTGAAATTACATCAGTGTACCTTTTGTTGGTTAAAAGCTAAACAACTGTTCAATATCTTAGTGAATAACATCTTTCATCAGCTGATGATAGATAAAAGCCAAGCTTTGTCCAGAATGTTGATTTTAGCCAGCCTTGTATTGTTTTTAGACCAGGGGGTTATCTTGACTGGTGGAGATAAATAAATTGGATGATGTGCAGGGAGATGAGAAATCAGCTGTGGAGAATATATAATCTACATCAGTGGAAAAATGTGTACATACAAGTTATTTATATCAGGAAACTGAGGGAAGGGTTGTGGGTGTGGAAGGGGGAGGTAACTTGCAGATTTTTACAGTAAAAAAAAGGAGTTATTTTGATGAGCCTTTGATCTACCTTTTGGGTATTTTTCAGTGTGTTTTTTCTCTGACATGCAGTTTTCTGTCAGACTATCCCAGCGCTGTATTCATGTTTGTGGGCACAGTCTGCATCTTGACCTCATCAATCTTCTCTATCGCCATTCTGAGGTTCTCTGTAGATTTTGGTGTTATTGATGGGAATAGGACAGTAAATGTGTTAGTTCTGATGTTTTGCTCAGAAAATCTGGAAAGGACAAAGGAAACATTAAGTTGATATGGATACTAAAAATAGTGGAGAAACTTCAGTATTACATAACAATGTGTTGACTATATGTACTGGTAAATTAACCAGAATAGTACTAGATTAGCAAGACAATAAAATCATGCACTGAACTAATTAGTGTGCATTAGACTATACAGCTTGTCAGGAGATCCATCATTGAAAGACTTTGAAGTAGAATTTTATGGGATTTTTCATACCATTATTTTTATAGATTTGAGCAGTTGTTTTTCACATTCAAATGAAATGAAAAGTGCAGATAAGCTTACTTCAGAGGAACTATCTATACATATTAATGATCCTATTGACTTGATAAAAGTTACTAGTGTTTATTTTTGGACAAAAATTGATTTGAACTTTTTGATTTGATTGATTTTCAATTCCTAGAGATAATGTATGATCTTCAAGTGAATTACGTAACCTGCACTTGCTTATTTGTTCATGTGCAATAAAGTAAATTTTAAATCAATATGGACACAGACAAGAATGCCAGACGCTTTGGAGAAAAATCTGCACAAGTTTAGTCACTCTGATGATAGTAATTAGCCAAATTCCTTGCTAGATCTCCATTCCTATTGGCCATGAAGAAAACTACTGGCAGTGGATGTTCTGTCTTGAACTGTGAAGAGAAAAGCACCTTTGCTTTACAGAAAACCCCCCTCCTCAAGTCCAGCGTAAAATCGATTGCAGGAGATTGCATCTTCTATTCTGCCATTAAGAACAAGAAAATTGTAACAGAGATCAAATCATTTCACTGGTAAATTGAGAAACTGGCGAATTGAAATCAGTTCCAGAAATCACATTTTCTTCAGAGAAAATGTGTTTTGCACAATTGCACACAGATTTAATTCTGAATTGTAAATTAAAGGAGTCTGACTAAATGATGAGAAAATAAGCATTCTGTATACTTATAAGTTTTAGTTTTTCCCTTTGAATCACATAACTGTTTGAACCTGTAATACATTTAAGAGAGTGATCATGCTGGTAAAAGATGAATAATAAAAAGGTACAGTGAAATGTCCTTAAGCGTCCACTGTAAAGTCAGGCACTGTCTGATCTGTTTTGTTTTGTGTTGGCCATGACTGTCATTTCCTCACTAAAGTCATAGTTCATCACAAAAGGCCATAAACTTGCAGTATGAACTAGCCTCCTACATCATGTGGTAGGAGTATGATGGCTAGGTATAATAAAACCCGGTGTCTAGGTCACATAAGGTCACTGGTTACCAAGGGTAACTTAATCACTCATGTGAAACCATCACAATGTATATACTATACTGTCTGAACAACTCTGAAATGTAGAGGTGTGTTTTAAGAGAAAAGTATACAGTTTACAATGGTTTCATTGGGTAAATTCCCAACAACAACAAAAAACCTTACTCAATGATTGTCACTTTATAGCATGTCACTGAATTGAAGTACTTAAGTACTTGAGTATTGCACTTTTGTGGTGTTTCTGGGTTTACAGCAAACTTGAGATGGAAAAAAGATGAATGAGAAAGTGATGAATGGAGGGTCTAGACGATGTACAATTTATATGATGTATATTTGTGTATTTCTAACAGATTGTAAATTTATTAAAGAGTGCTGGATATGAAATATTTTACTGAAGAAACATTGCATTTTATTTACAACATAAATTCATTTATCAACACTTCTTATATCAATAGATCAGCAAATTCTACACACTTCCAGATGTAAACAAATGTTGGTTTGACTAAATAAATATGTTGGAAAATCTTATCAGATACAAAAATTGTAAATAGATGCCTGAAAGAGCTTGAGGAATGTATTATTTGTAGACTGCCTCTATGTTTTACACAGAAAGTAAAATTTGGATTTCACACAATGAGAACTTCCAATAGGAAGTTATGCATATATAAGTATTATGGTAACACAAAATATCCAATGCACTTGGGAGTATGATTTGAAATTCCTTAATTAAAAAGGGAAAGATGCAAATTACATAATGTTTCATAAAAAGGTTTCAGAAAATAGGCTTTGGAAAATGATCATGTGGTATGGATATAGACCTATGATTTATTTTGTCGTTTCTGAATGTACTTGAGCTTTTTTCAGTCCTATATTCATTGTGTACTTTGTTGATCAGATTTGATATTTGGTTCAGACAAGATCTTAAATATGGATTATATGTCTAGTCCTATGACTTAGCAGGTTTTTTATCCATGTATAGTTTAGAGTACATTTAACTTGTGGTCTGGTCATGCTATACCACACATACAAAGAAGATAAAGTGGCACCCCTTCTATCTCCAGCTTTATTGTCTCTCTGAAAAGGTTGCCCACATCTGTTATATCAGTGGAGAAGAATTTTATCATGCTTCTTAACCCTAACCTGCCTTAGGTTATCACTGCAATATTTCTGTTTTTATTATATTTAATATTATCTGTAGCATTTTTCTTAAGCTAAATTCGATGTACAATGGGGGAAATTTTATGATCTGTACACACATAATTTATAGATGAGCAAGGCCTTCTGGTTTGGGAAATCCCTTGTTATTGAACTACTTATCAAATCATGCTAGATAGTGAAATGTGTATTCAGTCCTGTCATATCATCAATGGCCTATAATGAAAACTAATCTATATATTCAGCATATGTACTTGAATTTCCCTAGGGAAGATGGACTGTTGTGGTCAATATAAAGATCTTATTCATGTGTACCTACATTAGTAATAGGACCTACATTGTATGTGGGGGTTTCTGATGACTGTACATGACAGCCATCATGCACAATTTCAACACTCTGACCAGTGTCTTCATTTAATTACCATAATGAACTAACGCCAAGTCCTTTCAAAAATGGCCAATATTTCTGGACCAGTGAAATTGTCTCCCCTTTCAAGTTCATATCTAATAAGGAAAATTTGTATAGTATAGTGCAGAACCTTAGGATGTAGTTTGAAAAGTGTCTCTGGAATTACCTACAAGCACTGGATCAATACGATAAACGATCAAGCATTTTAGTTCAGAAAACTGGGGATAACATATGAAGTATTGGTCTTTGTCTCGGAGAAACAGGCATGAAAACACAGCCTGATAGGTGTTGGGAGTCTTAGACACATGATCTAGCTCTTGTACAATAGAGGGGGTACTTTTTACACCTGGCATGGGTTTTTGAATACTCCAAGGTATAAAGCTCTATCAAGGATTGACAGAGCAAGAAAACAGATCTTCATGTATGGTCTTTTAAAAGGATGTCGCAGAGGGGACTATCTGTTTAGGCTTTGTTGTTATATCTGGTTTTACCATTGCCTGACTCTTGACTGACAAGTTCAGACATTCCATGTGCCCTTGCTTCAGTTTGTTTCATTGTCTTTAAGTTCATTTTAATAAGGTGGTTTTGGTTGCTTACTCATCTTCAGTGTAGTTCAATCTTTGTTGAATAACAAGACACAAAAGTTTAATGGGTGCGCACATAAAGAATGATAAATTTGGGCATATGGTTGAATGGTAATTAGTATACACTGATTTCTATCTTCTGTTTGGTTAGGGTGAATGGACAGGATTGAAATACAGTTATTGTTTAGATAAGTCTTATTACAAGAAAGGTACGTCAATGTGATTGTGCATTGACAGAGCTGGATATCACCTGATTAAAATGCTTTTCAGTTTTTCATGTTGCATGCTTGTAAAATAATTCGAACACCAGAAAACAGCCCTCAATTGGTTGGATTAAGTATGAAAGTCACACATTTAATTTGGAATAGACAGTAAATCCAGTCAACCTTTGTTTGAAAATTGGAAAATAATTGAGTCTCCCTTGAAAGTAAGCGTGTAAAGTATCGTGAGGACCATTATGAGCCATTGTTAGGTAGCCTACCAGAAAAGGGGGTTTTAAGTAGTTGAGATTGAAATCTAAATCAGCATGTCTTGAATTACTGGTTGGCATGACATGATTTTACCACACAGATGTTACGTGAAAGAAAAATATACTAAAGATTTACCATTATATCATAAACAGGCAAATTATCAATAAACTGTGTGACTCAATGTACTTGACTAAAAATGTACATGTATATAATATATATATACATGTATTATATACATGTATAGTTAGATAGATAGATTCTTTATTTCCAAATCAGGGCCCTTTCATGTATATATAATAAAGCTTTTCAGCTGCCAAAAAAATTGAAATAAATGTATTAAAAATTTGCAGAACCTCTTGACTATACAGGGGGGAAAAAAGGGGAGAGAAAAGAATGGAAAATTCAAAATTCTCAGCTTTGTTTGAACCATGATGAAAACTAATGGGTTAAGTATAAACCTGTATTTGAACTATGGAGCCATCCAATTTCTGCAATATAGTAGCAGTAAATGAAAATATATCTGGTATTTTCTCATGGTCACATAGATTCAATAAGTAAAAAATCGCAGGATGTTGAGATTTACAATGAAGTAAAACAAAATCAAGTTATATTTATGATAAATCTTCAAAATATTACCAATTTACACTAAATCAGATTCTATTAATGCTATTACCGGTAATATGCAGCTGATTGGAATACTGTTGAAATAAGAAATTCTGTCTCCATTGAAGTTAGGCTGATCTGGTGAGGAATTTCTGGCATTTTGATGATGCTTGTAGGGCAGTCCCTGTTTGAATGATTACTAATCTGTTCCTTTGTATTTTGTCCAGGTATTTTCTATTGACAACCTTGTTGTAAGTGGGCACCCTGTCTAAGCCTTCTCCATTTTCAAATTCATGCAAGCTGCAAAACCGCATGACCTCATGTCTAACTTATTAATATTTGCTGGAGAGATAAGGTTAATTAATCACTTCCTCTTGATGAAAGAAGCCTGAAATAATTTAAAATCTAAATTTAAGATTTGTGGTTTACTGAATGTTTGTCAGCAGAAAGTTGCATTCTTCAGGAGTTCATAAAGAAATAGTTCTGTCAGCGACTAAAATACTAACTTTAACATAATGATGTATTATTTACTCAGAAGTGTTTTATATTGTGAAATTATGATAGATCCTGAGTTAAAAAGGTTGACAAAAAGTACCAGACACAGAAAGGTTGGTCCATTAATCCGTGTCTAAGGCTATTCAGATTTTATATTGCAGTGTCATAAAGACACTAATACAACTGATGACTTCCTTTGAAATTCAGCCCATTTGAGGGATACCATAGACCTAGAATGTAAAATGTATGTAAATATAGAGTTCAGATTTACCACACATACAAAAGAGGTTTTCATTCATTGACAATTTGAATTCATATCTTTTAAAAAAAACAAATTCCAATATCCCGAACGCTTTGAATGTATGGTTAAACCTGTGTGCAATTTTTTTTTCATCTTTGTATACCTGTATACAATATACACACCAGATTTCATGAATTATGTATTAGATTTGAAGCCAATGGGTAACAAATTGTAAAGTTGGCCTGTACATAATATGTGTTCAGTAACAATCCGTCAGATTAAATTTTCACCTGATTTACATAATCCAGTTAGTTCCGGAGAGGAACTTTAATGAATATTCGGGATTTTCTTCAAACATTTTAAATGAATATTTGTATGTTATACCAGTCAGAATTAATGTTGGCTCAAAATTGTTCAAATGTGTTAGATCTGAAGCTTGAACTTGAGAAGATTGTCTTTTGCAGCAAATGTGTTTACATTTTTATAGACCCATCCAGGAAAATGGTCCCTAACATTCTCTATCAACTAAGAAAATAATAGATTTAGATCTATAGTAAGCAACAACTCTTTATTCTAAGGTTTAAGTTTGGAAAACTTAAAACCTGTAAATACCTTAATTTCACAAACAGAGTAGTAACTACATCATATATTTTAAGTTTGTAAATTGCTCAGAATTATAGTTGTTCTGTTCAGACAGTGGTTAACATTCCATACTTTTTGAAATGGAAAAAATATGTTAATGAAATGGAAGAGAAAATGAGCTGTTACATAAAATGTGGATATTTTTAAACAAAATATTTTAATGGCATTTGCCCCCCCTCTTTTTGGCATGCTATGCAGGTTTGTAGATTACTAGACTGAGGCCTCCACTGTGTGTTTGGAGAATCTTGTTTCTGAAGAGTAATGCTTCTGGAAAATGTCTGCTTTCCATGTAATGAGAGGCAAGATAAACCAAGCATGGTACCTCTCTTTAATTAGAGAGCTGTGAAAGATATATTGTTAGTGCAAGGAATTTCTGTGCTTGAGTTCAGTAAAGACTGCACATTTAAAGTAATTTGCCTGCAGATGGTGCACAGATAGGTGACTTAGGTGTGCACCTGATTCAAAAAACATTGACCTCGACGTAAATTGACTGGGTCAACCAGGGTAGCTGAAAATGACGCTTTAATGTGTAACAATCTGTCGCTGAACCAAAATAACCTAATCCAAAACAAGATTATGCTGTTGGTAGTTTAGGGTTTTAGTGAAAATGAGTCATTTATCTTTCATTTGGCAGATTCTTTCCTTTAATATGTAGTGAATTTAAGAAAGAGTTTTATAGCAACACTTCCTTCATTCATTGATTAACCACTTTTAATAAATATATGAATAGTTCCAAGTGTTTTGAAGAGCTGTTTTATTTGTCAGTTCACAGGGGATGCTTACTCATTATAGGTACCTGATCCCACCTCTGGTGTTTCTAGGGGTCTTTTGTTTGTTTGTTTGTTTTTTTTTGCCTGTTCATTTTCATTTTGTTACTATAGTTTATGAGATTTGTCACTGTTTGTTATATTTAGCTTTTTCATTTTATTGGATTATATATGATATAACCAATATTTTCTTGCTTTTTTTCAGGGAATCATTTAGAAGTGTGTCCTCAGGCTTCTACTTGTTGTACGAGAGACATGGAGTCCAAGCTTAAAGCTCTTAGTGCCAGGGAATATTCTAAATATATAGGAGATGCATTCAGATATGCCAAAAATACATTTGTTACAAGAACTAGAAAATTTGATGGTAAGTTAAAGAATAAAACACAAACGCATACAATATACATCATTTACATAGGGAGTTGCTCTAATTTAAAATTGGTTTATTAATTTTTTAAGGAAAAAAATAAATAGAATGTTTGTAGCGGCAGACAAAAACACTTGATGATAATGTTTCTGTGGCTTTGTTAATCATGTAAAAGCAAGGCTTGGTAATGGATCTGGTGAAAGCTGGGGATTGAATCCCACATACACGTGTCTAGCTCTGATTTATCCCCTCCTTACGTTTCACCAGTGCTTCTTGTGTACTAACATTAGGTAGTTACACTCCAAATGTGCTCCTGGTCGGCAAAAAAACTGAATTACTGCCAGGGTTTGGCAATTCAAATTCAATTGCACCATCTGTACAGACTGCTGAAAGTCATTCCATATGTGTAGAGGTTTCTTTTTGTCTATAGGTTAAAAATAAAGTTTATCATGATTCAAAGATTAAAGAAATCAGAATTTTTGTTAAAAAGTAAAGGAATTTGAAGCAAAGTATGCAAATTTTTTCCTTGAATAAGATAACAAATTGCATGATATGCAAAAAATATTGTATACTTACGAATTTTCTTTCCTTTTTAATAAATAGTTTTTGTACAGTTTGTGAGAAAAATTTAGAGATTTATTTCAAGAAATTTCAGAATTGAATTATCAAAACATGTATTTTTCTGTCATAAATTTGGAAATACACAGTTTGCGAGACAAATAAAGAGATGTATTTCAAGAAATTTCAAAGTCAAATTATTGAAACATATATTTTCTGTTGCAATTTCGGAAAAAAATTTCAACAGTTACTTGTTTAAAATACCCGTTACCCATAATTAATTATCTTAAAAGGAGAAAATTAAGCTGATCATAAATATCACAATGAGTCCTACGGTAAGTGATGTGTACTACGAGATTGACATGTCTGTGGAAAAACGCAGCTGTATATTTTAATTTAGACGTACACTGTAGATGTTCAGAGAGGAAAAGAAGTGTCAGATACAGGCCATAAATTGATGATAAACTTTTCATGGTTTGCCCTTAGCACCCAGTGTATTAATAGTATCCATGTGACAGATGGTCATTTTATGGCAACAACCATTTGCCCTCTCTATGGCATAGGAAGAAATTCATTACCTCCCTATTTCATATGTTTGTAAATTGATTAAGATAACTACAATACAATTATATTAATGTATCGCTCAGCTGATATGGTACATTGCACAAAGTAAAATCTTGAAAGAGTAGCTGAAGCATAGTACATAAAAATTATCCACCATCTGATAATAAAATGAAATAAATATTAAATATTTTCACTGTTCACTTCAATTTATTGATTAACTGAGATAAATTTCTTCCTACATTTGTGTAATGTGTTATGTTTTTCCTGTATCAAGTTGTGGGAAGGGTGTTGCCACTTTTTGTCCATAAAAGGTGTCATTTAATAAGAGAAAACATGCTGTAACTCCCATCTACAAAGACAGATACATTGTATAATCCCGCAGGTGAGGTGTAACAACTTTATACTCGTAATGTGCAGAAAAGTGCTCTTTAATGGAGCCGCTTGTAACAGGTTAATTAAATATGATTCAATCATTTGTCACAAATAGTTTTTCATTCCAAAACATTTCTGATAAGCTTGTGACATTTAGAGGATAAATTGGGCAATTTTGAACACTGCTTCCTTCCAAAAACAAAATGTTTTCATGAATTAGGTGGTACAAAATGACTTTGCCTATGACCCCCTGTGACACATTTACCCTTTAGCTTGATAGAGTACCAAACCATGTATATACAATGAAATAATAACCCTATTATGTATTTGTGATAAAGATCAGCTTGAATTTCCAGTCATTAAATGCAAAGTCAGGACTAATATTCAATTGAAACTATATAATTGGGTAGATTGAACATGGTTACTTGATCCAAGAGAAATCATGTTTTCGTAAAATTTCAGAGTTAGGCTAATACCCTTTGTTGTCACCTTTTACATATAAGTGAGGAAACTTAGGCTTTGAACTGTTTGACATTGTATTATAACAAAGGTCTCCACACTGTCAAAAAGTCCCTACAACCCCCAGGCATTCTAGCACTTGATCTTAATCAGGGACGTCCTAACTGGTCTGTAATGAATTTGATCTAATTATGCCAGGAAGATGTGAAGAAAAGTCAGATATTGGGAATATTAAATCTTTTATCCCTAGGCCTAAATTGTGAAAGTTATTTCCAGCAATATTTTGGCAGGTCACTTGTGGCCTTGGTCCTTGGCTTTTGTAATCGGATGAAATTCATTTAAAGCCTCCTATTAAATGTAAATCAGCTATTGATAATTCTTCATGTGGTGTGAATAGTGAAACTATTTGCCCTGTTTGCTTTACATACAAGAGTTAACAAAAATCATGAGTAGCATATTTTTTTATTCATTTTCTTTTTGTAAAGGCCAGACTTGTCAGTTTTAAGTTCAGCATAGTTGATCAATTAACATACCACATCCAAAAACCAGCAATGAGAGCTAGGGCTTAGCAAGAAGAGAAAGAATTCCTGAAAAATGATTAGCCAGATCAGGCCAGATCTTTCTTGAAACTGACAAAATTCCCATTTAATGGACCTCTCCCTAATTATAGTTTTGTATCCAGGAGCACTTCACAGAGAAAACATAATGATAGGGCTACTGTTAGGTCTTTTAGTATCCATCATGATCCACGCTCGCCAAATCACCAGTGGCTCAGATAGAACTAAATATTTCTCATCTACCTGCTGAACTTAAGTGGGGAGGACATGATTTAATATAGAGTATTTAGTTGTAAATATTGACTTTAAATGGGGGAGATATCCAATATCAAGTATCTAACTACAGCTCACTCTTACATTATCTAACTTCTGGATGTTGTATAGTTTGATTATTGTCAAACTTGGCACAGTGGTTTTATTTATTGCCTGCACGGTGCCCATAAAGTTTAGAAGGATTCCCAATGTGGTTAAAACTTCAGCTTTAGTGAATTATTGAACAATTATAAATTATTTTTGACTAGGTATAAATACATGTAAGCAACTCTAGTACCAGTGCCTGTAGTGTGAATTTAGATGTTTTGCATGGCCTATCATGGTGTATCGTATGTAATGTTGAAAACAAAGGTTTTTTTAAAGGAAAAATTCAGAAGTTTTTTTTATTGAGCAATGGTTATCAAAGAATCCAAGTCAAATTTTACTTTAAAAAAGTAAACCTTCAAATTTTCTGATTTAAAGAAAACCTCTTTTTAGAACACTATTAAGGATTGTGGGAAATAGACTTAATTATACCTGACTGGTAATTCCTGCTGAGAAAGTTGTTCTTTGTAGATACCAGCAAGGGAGAATTCTTTTTATTGAAAATGCATACATTTATAAATTATTAAAGACATATCTACCTTAGATAGTTTTTAAAACCGACTCATAAACTCGATTCAGACACAGATAAATTTAAATCGTTAAGAATTTTTAATTAAGAAAAAAGTTCAAACATTTGGGTCCTGTTATTGCGTAATAGAAATGTTATCATGTAGTTACAGCTGTTAACATTTATAGAAAAGCAGAAATAATTTTTGGTTTATGGAGGTTGTCATTTGTGTTGCCTGTGCAGAAATGTTTTGTGCATGCAGATAAATTTGGCAGATAACCCTCTGTGACAAAAATTGAAGAGAATTTAAAAAAAACATTTCACATCAAACTAGCTCATTTCTACAAAATCAGAACTCTAATTAGACCACATATGTTTGCATTTGTAAATTTTACTGATTTATGGATTTAGTTTCTTACATACAAATTCTGTTGGCAATAAATATAGTTAAAACACTTTTAAAGCTCAAGTTACAATTGAAATTTTGATTTATGCAAAACAATATTAAATCACTTGTTGCAGCAAATTGTATTATCAATATTGAAGTATTTCATAGTTTAAAATGCCTTAGAATTCATGTATGATACACTCCATAAATGTATGCATGTTTTTGATGATAGTTTTATTTTATTAAATTTTCTTTTTCAGAATTCTTCACAGCCCTTTTAGACAAATCAAAAACAGACTTGCATACCATGTTTGTGAAGACTTATGGATTACTTTACCAGCAAAATTCACATGTATTCACAAGTTTATTTCAAGACTTGCGGAGTTATTATAAGGGCAAAGACATGAGCTTAACCAGTGCTCTTGACAATTTTTTCAAAAGATTGTTTAGCAAAATGTTTGAGTTGCTATCTGTTCCGCACAAATTTTCGGATCATTACTTAGAATGTGTGACAAGTCAGATGGAAAACTTGAAGCCATTCGGAGATGTTCCAGGAAAACTTTCCACGCAGGTCAAGAGGTCATTTGTTGCTGCTCGTACCTTTGTTCAGGGTCTTGCCATTGGACGGGATGTGATTATGGAAGTTTTAAAGGTTTGTATGATAAACTCTTACTTGATTAATCTATACCCATGTCAGATGACAAGAGTTGCATTGTACATCTCTTTCATAAAAATGGCTTGCTTAAGTAAATTGTGTATTTGCAGTAAACAAGAACTTTATGGTAATTTTCTCTTTTTCAAAGAAAACAAAAGATCATAAGTTGATATACATTAAATTCTCCTTTGTTCATCCCCATTGCCCCTAAAAACAGATTTAATTCTGCTCCATGTATGCTGAAGATGCACTGTCTGTAGAAAGAAAAAACAGAACATCTGATTTTATTGATTGACAGAGATCAAAGACAGAATACCTCCACTGTAGCATTCAGGTGTCTGATCTTTATATCGTAGGTCTTCAATGGCATAAACTCCATTTTACTTCCAAGGAAAATTTATTGTTTTTCAATTACAACCAAGGGCAATACCATTTCTGCATGTTGTTTAGAATCGCTTGTTGCAGCAAAATGTCATCAATTGATCAAACCAGATGGCACCAGTCCAAACTGGTCAGAGATAGAGTATGTGTACTGTATGTACCTACCACTATGCAGCAATAGGGGAAAAACACTTTTCCCCCTTCCATGTTAATCAGCAAAGATTGACCAGATTTTGTAATGAGCAATGCTAAGCAACAAGGTATTGACTACTTCTGTCAAGATAGATGTATCTGATAGGGGTCTTGCAACAGTGGGATGATGGAATGAACATATCAAGCATGAGAAGAGATTGAGTTTTTTTCCTATCATTTAAAGGCCATTGTTTTCATTTTACCTGGCTTTGACTTTGGAATGATATCAAGAAAAAGGTATTTTGTTTGCCAGAGAACGATTGGATCTAATCTTCAACTAAATCACAAGATGTGGTCTCGGTGAAAAACTTGCTATTTACCCCAGGTATTTTCAGGTATCTTGTCTGAGTTCCAGGTGGGGCTTGCTTTCACAACACGTGTTTCCACCTCATATTGTTAAGGTTACAGAGCCCCCTGCACATTCCTCCATAGCGGCACAATAAAAAATGCACAATCTTATTCAACCTTAGATTTTAGCCTCAAGGTAGAGCAGAAGTTTATTATAGCTGTCTGTTCACTGTTTGTCATTGTATGCTGTTTTGTTAGTGTGTCTTTTCAAAATCTTGGGTTACATTGTCTGGGGGTAGTTGAGATTTGTATGTGTCTAATCGTACTGTGAAATTAAGGTGCTAAAGTTTCTGCACATCACACATACTTGTCCCCAGCCCTGTCTGGCCAGGTTGATTGCTGGAGGTAATCATCAAGTAAACAACACAGGTAAATCTCAGGTGTAACGAAGCCAGGATAACAGGGTTGACTGGCTGAGGGGGGCTTCAGTAACATTTCACAGACTGCCATCATAACTTGCTGTACAGGTATACAAAGATCTGGCTTCAGAAATACTTAATCTTGTCAACCTGGAAGTCAGGTAGAGCAATGATCAAGTTATTAACACTCGTTCCCTGTTTCTAAGTTGGCCAGCTATAAATAAAGTGAAAATAGTTTTCTCACCAAAAGCAATAGGAAAACATGTACCTCATTCAATGCTACTTAAGGATCCAGGCAGATGAAAAATTTTGATTCCATATTTTAGCAATGTATATCAGTAAGAAACTCAATATTTGCCCCCCCCCCTCCCCCCGATTTTATTTTGCCTTTCACATATACTAGTATCCTGTTAATCATTTAAACAGATCTTGAATCTTAAAACCTTATGTATTAAATTCTAGACCTCATGGACATCAGAGTTTGAAATGTATTGTTGTTTTTCATGATGTCAGTCAAAATATATTCAAATGCATCAATCAAACAAGAAGTTTTATGTGTGTTTTCATGACTGTTATAGATTCCTCCAACAGAAGCTTGTAACAAGGCTCTGATGAAGATGATGTATTGTCCACACTGTCGAGGACTGACCCAGACTAAACCCTGCAATAACTACTGTCTGAACACAATGAAGGGATGCCTGGCTTATCATTCGGAGCTCAATGCAGTCTGGAATGATTACATTGGTAAGAATTTCTCTTGTTGGAAACTTTCATTTTGATGTCAAGAGAGAAAATATACAGACATGACAAGATGTCTATCAGAAAAGTGAATAATACAGTTACTGCAAACTATGATGATAAGGGTGTCGTTTTCCCACAAGAAGTGTTTGGTTTTGATAGATATTTGATGTGTGTGTTCAGATTTGAAATGGTTATATGTGTTGACGTTTTAATGGCTAAGCTCGACCAGGAGATACGTGTGTGTAGTTTTACATCTGTGAATTCATTCCATTTTAGCAGTTAAGAGGTCATTGCTTCTAAATCTCACATCATTCATTGAGACCTGTGAGTTCTAATGAGCTAGCCTAGGTGAAAGCAACATTACTCACAAGACTTTTGTCTTATGGAGCAGAAAATCTATAGGTCTGATGCCTTATATGTAATCTAGCCCTGATAAAGCCATTTGTTATGATGAAAAGTTCCAATCATTGATAGGAAATGGGGAATCAAGACAAGGCAATACTTCAAGGATATAAGTAGGTTAAAATGAGTTTTCTGTGTGAGGCTAGTTTCACTTTCAATAATCAATTAATGTTCTCTGATCAACTGACTTCCTACTTTTCATGGAATTCCGTAGGATACTTAATTGACAATTTTTCCCACAGGAATGAGGTCAAATTATATAAAATAGAAATCTATTTTAATAGTATACTATGAATTAATGAAATATTTCAGATTTGAAGGATTAACAAGTCTATTGTCTTTCACTTTTCATTTTGAATATTTTCAAATTCAATGAAAATCTGATTAATAGACATGTTACAATGAAACAACTGAAAATTGTCACTTATGTAAACTCAGGCTATGAATAGATATATTTACTTGAAGTACTACAACTTCATTGACCTCTTAACTCAAGTACCACACTTATAAATATTTCCTGGTATCTACTGGTACTACTGGATCCTCTATTCAGATTTTAACTTAGGAGTGATTGTTTCTCATCACGAGGAAAACATAGTTTTTAAAAGGGTTTACTTGTCACACCTAGTTCCTTGAAATAAAATGTGGGATTTTTTTTTGTTACAATTCTTGAGATAATGCAAGTTAAGTAAAGATAAAGATAAATTTCTTCTTTTTTTTTAAAGCATTTCGTATGAAAAGTACATAAAATAATTATAAAATACATGTATGAAGATATTGCAGTTAAGTTGGTCATTATCAGAAAAGAAAATCAAACCAGTTCACTCTACTCTCCTATAAAAACTTTCTGTTTGACTAGGAGCAGAAATCAGATTTTCGGTGATGAGTCACTTACAGTTATGAGTAGACTCTTGGGTATTTAAATAAGTTACAAGTGTCTGATTACCAGAACCAGAAGTGTGGGAGGGAGTTGTGGTTTACCCGGGGTCACATGTGACCAATTAAAAAGTACAATCATTCAGCTTGTCCAAAAATCTTCATTTGCTGTGTTCTTAAATATAAACTGTGAGTAATTGTACACAGAACTATTACTCAGTTATGTTTGATAATCCTTTGTTCATCAGTTGTCAACCAAAAAGTATATAATCAAAATGTTCAGTAAAAGTTATAAGAAAGTGTCAGTGACAGTCTAGATTTTCTACACCTACACATATATACCTGGTACTCTGCACAGTACTTTATTGAATATATAATTTTATTATCATAAAAAGGTTTTCTTTGTATAGAGTATTTGTGTTTCAGTATTCAAAGTCTATTATTACAGAGTCCCTTTCAATCCTTTCTGACTCCTAGCTTTATTGTAGATTTTTCTTTACATTCCGTATCAACATATTTTGATTTTGTGTGAGTTTTAAGGATTTGCCAGGAGTGCGTGGCCTTTATTGATCAGAAGTGAATCACGTAACAGAATGGTGTTGTGCCGGGAATGAGATTCAAGAACTGTCAGAATTTTATGCCCCATTTTTAGACCATAGAACACCCTCTCTTGTCTTTGAGTCTGTGAGTCATCCAGCTCTACATTAACACACATGCGACAATACCCAATATAAAGCAGAAAGTGGGCTGTACAATTGAGGATTACAAATGACAGTGATTGCTAGCAGAAAGATCAAACAAAGTGGGGTTAATTTTCTGTATAAAGCTACTGGGTGGTTAAATAAGAATTGGATTCCAGGTTGACAGACTTGAAGAGCAATTAAGATGATAATTTGTCAATTTTTCAGGAATGAGAGAATTTTCCACTGTTCAATATTGAACAGGAAATGGTTGAGAGTTGATAAAAAGTTATAGTCTTGTTAGATCAATAACCAATGAATAATCCCTGACAACTTTATCTTTTTGAAAAAGGAGGGGAAAATGTCTCCTCTAAAATTGATAGTGGTAGTACCTGAGGTAAACTTTGCCAAAAGTGTTATGTCAAGACTTCATAAGTATTTCATTGCATACCAGTGTGTGCATGAAGAGAGAGAGCGAGTTAATGATTTGGCCGAAATTTCCCTCATGGGTCTTAAACAATGTCACTTCAGTTTATTTCGACACATCTTTCGTCTCCTAATAATATTATGTTTGTTGATAACTGGCTGCATTGTTTGAATTTTTCAAGAGATAAGACCATATGATCCCATAGTCTTTCTTTAAGGAGATTTTTGCAGTGATAAAACTTTAACCTGTGGACATCAAGTGCAGATTGAATTGGACATCAAGTAAAGTTTTCCAAAGAAAAAACTGAAGAACAGTGGAAAAAATATAGAGAGAAATGAAATGTCTCATTTCAAAATTGTTTGAAAAAGTTAATTAGATAATCTGACATCCAAGGAAATCATAGTAATGGAAAAAATTAGAAAAAGCTCTTTATATTGATGATTTAGAGTGAAATAGGATACAGAAAATTATATTTTCGTGTTATTAGGAAGTCTTGGTGATAAATCTGAAATAACTATATAGCATTTGGATTGTTAGCATTAGCTCACAGAAATCGTACCATAGGCTGTCTGAGATTGTGCTGAATATTCAGATATTATCTTTTAAGCTTTTCAATTTCGAAATTGCTTTTTACTGAAGCTATTTGGATGAAATTCCATTATGAAGTTTAAAAAATGTTGTTACATGTGTGTGAATGTTATCAAAACAAAAATGGTAGACATAAACCTCCATAGAGAAGATAACATGAAATTTAGTAAGCAGATTTGATTGACCTAATGATGGCTGTGCTGTTCCTTTAAAGAGAGGAATATCAGATATATCCCCCGATAGTATAGTGCAGCGAAGATTGGGATGTTTATTTGATAAGATTTATCCTTTCCTTAGCTTTCATCCACACGCTTTTTTGTATATGCCTTCTGCACCTTGGTGTTCAGGATCTTACGTATATATAGAAGATATGCACAGAAAGTTGTTTCTTAATGCTTTGCAGAGATTTGGCGAATGGGAAGTCGGGCAACATAACATGATTCTGTTGTAATTGTGGTTTTTTACGGTATTGTCTGTAAGAATTCTCTTAAAATCGATCTTGAAGACACTTTCCTAGGCTTTGATGATTTGACGCAATTGACCAGTAAATTACTTCAATTCAAAACTGGGTTCCTTTTCATTTTATGGTGGACTTTAATGGTGATGGCTAGAGATCCCCCAGCTTACTTTTATTGCTATGTTGAGGGAAATTGTGTCTGTTTTAGGTTCCAAGCAAATATTAATTGTTTATAAATCATTTTTCGAATTGTTTAAGAAAGTGATATAGATTTATTTAAAGTTAAATGTTTAACATGATGATTTTTCTCTTTTAAGTTTTATATATAGATGTCATATAAATGGCATCCAGCATTCAAGTTAATAGTTACAAATAGAATGTAGTCCAGAATATTTTAAGTAATGTCTTGTGTCTGTATGTAAATGGCACCACTGAGCTTTAGCTGAAACATTAAGTTAACAAAGGGCTCCCAACATCTGCTTCTGCAGATCGCAAGATGGCCAAAAAAATTGAGAAGTGAACCGAGTGTTTTGGGATTTTTATGCGGGCTCACTGTGGAGATGGTAGTATTTGTGTTTAAGGGCTCAGTGTCACTGACGTAGATTACAAAAGTTTTATCTTATATTTGAGTATTCTGCTGCATTTTTGTGCTCTGTTAAATGTAGTTTGCATATAGTCTTAGGTTTACTTAACTTTCACAGAATTACTGCTGATGCTGCAAAGTTGAGACATTTTGCTAGTGTGTTACTGATTTGTTAGGAGGTTTATCTTGTACTAACAGTATTCTGTAATTAAATCAATCTGCAGTTTGATTCTGCTGTAAAAATCAAAGAGAAATGCAGTCAAGGGGTAAGGAGCATTAAACTGAATCTGTTTGATACCCATTGTTGAAACATTAAATTGAGACTACATGCTGTGAGTTTGTTTGCTTATAAAGTACAGAGATGGAAAAGTTAGACTATATTACACCAGACATCACAGCTTGTTCTAGTCAACAGTCAGTAATTAAATTGTCACAAGAATCAAAGTCGATCACCTGCCTAACAATTCTCCATACATTAGAACCATGTAAGACTATTTAACTTTCCCTAGATTGGATATCAAGCCACTAGACCATTGGTAACCCCTAGGGGAAGGGTAGAGTTTTCTCTAACTATTGTGACATTTTACATCTTAATTTCCTCATAAAAGGGTGAAAGTGTAAGGCCAGGAATGAAGTCAATCAAGCCAGGGGCCAGTAATCTAACCCCAGCCTATTCCTGCTCAGCTGTGTGAGTTATTGCTCTCATCAGCTGATTAAATTAGTATTTTAACATAAAAGGGAGGATTATGAAGTTAATGGTAGGGCCACTATTTCCTTTGATATCTCATTTATATTGAGATAATAAACCTCTTATATTGCATTTCCAATACACATTAAGTATTTGGTTTAAAACATATCTTTGTGGTGAAGTATGTTTTTTGTCCTTTGCTTACTTTGAAACAGAGGTAGAAGTTTTTCGGTGAAGTGTTGATGGCTTGTGCTTTGTAGAATTCTTTCTAGTTAGAGTTTTCTATTTTGTTGTATGCAGTGTATGACGAGAGGGGTAATCTTGGTACAATTTATAGTGGGGTAAAATTGAAACGGTGATTATGTGAGGGTAGTCAGACATGACTAGATAGTAGAGATCTTCAACAAGACAGGGAATTCAAAAAGTTAAATACAAAACCAACATTCATGTTAACAGTCTGTAAACAGACTTTGTTAACCTTTTAACAAAGCCACAATACAAAACCAAAAAATCTTAATCAGCTATTTTCAAAATTTAGTGAGGCAGTTGTTATTTTGGCAAAAAAGTAACTTTTCCATATTGACTTTTTTTTGCATTTTTTACTAGTGAGTCACTGATTTCTAAAGTAAGGTCTTAATGAATCTGTTAACCAATTTTTTTACAATTACAGGAGGAATGATGAAAGATCCTGTGATAGCTTATTTGCATAGTTGTAGTGACATGAGCTCTGAGAGATTGTCAATAGCTGAGGACTTGGAAGGAAGAATGTCTCTTTTTGTATTATTAAATTTCATCTGCCATCTCCTTCCCATAAAAAATGACTCAAAGTTGACAAAATTCTCCCTCCATTTCCGACTTTTAGAATGGTTGTTTGCAAAATTTGTGTCAAAAATTTATGGCCGTCATTTTAAAGAAGTTGTCTTTTATTGTAATATTTTCTACCAAAGTACAAATAACTTTAAAATAGCATGATGAATGTATGTCAAGTTGTTTTCTTAGTGATAAGCAAGGTAACTAGCACTGATTTGAATTACTGTGGAATCATCATTGTTCGTGGGGGATCAATGTTCGTGTATTTCGTGGGTCAACCTTACCCACGAATTTACATCCCCACGAACATTTTTTTGTCAGCGTACTGATTAATTAAATCTACCAAATAAACGAGCTGCCCACGAAATTACATCTTCACGAACCAATAAAATTTTGCTTGCCCACGAACATTGACCCCCACGAATTTAAATGATTCCACAGTATGCTTTTTACACCAGCTTTTATGCTTTATATCATCAAGGGTGTATTAGTAATATTCTATCTTTGGTGTATAATATTTATCAGTGGGGTTAGAAATGGTTGAAGAATACATTATATTAATGGAGTTGGTTATAGAGGATAGGTTATTAATAGAGCCAGGGAATAATCCAGTGTGCTATGTATCATTGCTCTTGTTGGACACAGTATGGTTCCCCTGTCCTTTATACACAATTTCTACTTGATGAATTATCTTTTTCAACATACTCTGTGTCCCTGCTCTCACTTCAAAGACATTTTTCCTTGAGAGATTTCAAAAGAATATTGAATTGATGTGTTGTTATAGGGAATGCGGTGTAAAATTTCAGCAAATAATTTCCATATCCTGGGTGGCTGTCATTTTGCCACTAGTTTAACTCACAGACTGGAGACTTACATTTAGATTTCACTTAAATTAATGTTTTTATAAACTTTCTAAACCACATGTTTAATCTTGTTAATTTTAAGACTTTATGTTGACATAAGCAGTAAATAAAAAGATATAATAACTCAGACCTAAGTTCATTGATTAAAATTTACAACTATTTTGATGTGTTTTTCAGAGGCTATGAAACAGTTGGCAAGCCGCCTTGAAGGACCATTCAACATTGAGTCTGTGGTAGACCCAATAGATGTTAAAATATCTGATGCCATTATGACACTTCAAGAGAACAGCCCAACTGTCAAAGAACAGGTGAATGAAGAAATAAAAATACATTACCTTGTCCCGAATATCATAAGAGAAGACAATCTAATCTTGAAAACTAATATTTACTTTGGTTTGGCCTTAATTTTTCTGGCAAGGGAGATTACTGTAATGGAATGTTGGCTTGAGGTAAAAAGTTCAATATTCGTACACAGATTTTTATCTCATTTACATGTGGTCAGAGCGCATGATTTAAGAGCTCCTCCATGCATTTATTGAATACGTAGGTGAAAAATACATTCTCTTATGGGAAAAGGAATCTTAAGATACAAAAGTACTCTAAAACTATACCCAACTTAAACATGAGACTGAAGAACATAAATATCGGAGTCATATATTTTACTTCAGCCACAGGGTTGGACGTACAGTATACATTTTTCACATGTGAATGATGGGCCCCAGGTGTAGTTCTTGTGTTAACATCCTAAGGAGAAATGGACTCCAAGAAATGGATGACATACTCTGTTGTAAAGATACAGAGTTTAACATGTTCAAGTCATGTAATTATGATCAGTTTTAGAACCAAAATGACTTAAACAAAAGTAGAGGAGAGAGGATTTTTTTCTGAAGTATAAATTTGAAAGATAGGAATGAAGTTTGCATTGAGAAGTGGATTTGTAGTAATGAATGAAACATATTTGTAGTAACACCTGTTTAATTAATGTACAACTTAATAGCGTATTTTGTAATTTCATATTTAATTATATGTAAATTAGAAGTCTACACATATTTAAGACAGTAATGGTATGTTGATTTATAGTTTAATAAAACTTCTGTCCTAATTTCCAGCATTTTCCCAAAATTATGGGATAATATGTCAATCATTTTGAAGTTTTTCATTTACCTATTTCAAGAAGATTAAATATTGATTAAAATTGGAGAGGTTCAAAAAGAATGATGGTCCAAAAGTGTTCTTCTTAAAACAGTAAAAAACCCAAATTGATTAATGATTTTGCGGTAGTAGCATTTTCAATTTCATGATAAAAGGTATACAAGCCATATTTAAACATTAAATCTCTCTCTGTTGTCTTTTCACCAGATTCAATACACTTTAATTATCCTGATATTTATAAAAACTCTCATTTCTCATTTACAGCCATTCTAGAAAAAATTGTAAAGCCCTTTGTAATGGAGTGCTGCACAAATTTTCAATTTGCTAAATCAATCTTCTCTGAAATTCGAGCATGTTTAACATAGAGCATCAAATGACTACTATGTTTAGTGAGAGTAGTCACCTCTGTATATTTATCTGGGTGATTTCTCATCCTTTGAGTTATGTCATTAGCAGTTTACACTAGTTTTAAGTCAGTGTTAACAAAATAAATTGATCATTTCCTGCCTAATGATTTTTCCCTCATTATGATTTTTTTTTTACCCCTTTAGGTTCACAATGGATGTGGACGACCTAATCCTCAAAATATCAAACATAAACGAGACGCCAGTAGCCCACCCCTAGGTGCTCAGCCCACCCTTCAGGATGGCAAAGATCCTGGCTCCTTGGGCCAGTATGATGAGTTTTCACTTGGAAAGTACTCAGGACCAGATGACCAGCACAAGTCAGTCAAACCAACTACTGCTGCTGGAACCAGTTTAGATCGTCTAGTAAAGGACATAAAGGAAAAGGTCCGGGTTGCCAAGGATTTCTGGGTACAGCTACCATACACTGTGTGTAACAATGACCAGATTGCGGCACAGCCGGGGAATGATACAGACTGCTGGAACGGCAAAGATAGAGCCCGGTTTGTAGTCAGATTACCTCCCAAAATATAGGTTACTTAATCTGTAAAACACTAAACACAGCAATCAAAATCTTTAAAGGCAACCAAAGTATTTAAACTACTGAATGAAAAACAAAGATAACTGGAAGCAAAAAAAATATATATATGTTAAAAATAGGTCTGGAGTTCCATTGGTACTAGGCTGTTCTATGAGCTAAATACAAAATATATGTATATCAGTTCCATTTCTTTTGCCAAGGTTGATTTTAATAAGAGATCAATTGTAGAAATGTCTACTAGTTTGACATTTGCTCCTGATTTTTTAAGACATACTTTTTGTCTTCATTCATGTGGAGATCCTAATCCACTGTTTAAATAGTCAGACTTACAAAAAGTTAAAGTGTTTTAAAAGTTTGACCCAGAAACTAAATATGATAGCCTTTTGATATGCAGGTTTCATATGTTACATGTGTCATTCACAAAATTGTCAAAGCATGCACATGGTGACATGATTTTTAGGGAAGATTTTCAGTGCAAACCTATCGTTTAGATCAGTACAGAGACCACACATCAGGCATAAAATAATTACAGGAAATGCAGATTGATGAATTACAAATGCAAATATATTTTATGATCAATAACATTTAACTTAAGATACTGCGTAATTCGTTGCCAGTGATATTCATTTACAAATGATCCAGCTTTAATTATATCTGTTAGAAGTGTATAAATACGTACACATTTAGGGATTCATGTATGCATAAAAAGTTATGCTGTTCTGTAAATAGATAATGCTTTTGTAAATGTGATATATCATTGTTCAAATTTTCACTTGGAAATTTACTTAAGAAAAATAACTTCATTCTGAATAATAATTTGTCATTTCAGATAATACTGAGAGTTTGTTAAAGCTTCCATATTGATCAAAATTTATATGAAGTGTACATTTGGTTTATAAACTGATAATTCTATTAGCAGAAACATGCACAGAGCTTTTTGTATATAATAATACAGTTGTTAATTGAATTTTTGGCATTGTAGGTATGATAGTGTGGTACAAAAAGATGGCATGATGTATCAAATCAACAATCCCGAGGTGGAAGTGGACGTTAACGAGGCAAACTACATCATAGAACAACAGAAGATACAACTGAAGATCATCACCGGCAAACTCAACAATGCTTTCAAAGGCGAGGAGGTCACATGGGTCAAAACAGGTACAGTTATAGTGATTCAATGGTTTTACTACGGGTCATTTACATTTTGTATTGTCGAAGGTCAAGGTCATACTTTTTATCTTATTAAAAAAAGACGGAAAATGAGTCAAACACATTAATAAATGAATGTTTTGGAATTCAGTAAGTTCTGATGTTGAGATGGATTTCCCCTCCTCCCCCCCCCCCCCCCCCCCCCCCCCACAACCAGTTTCATTCATAAATATCTAAACAATACCTCCATATTTTTTTGTACAGTTGTGGCTTGATACAACTTTCAATCTTAGAAGGAAGAGGTACAGTCCCTGAAACGTTCTACTTTCCCATTTTTCCGTTCGCTCACCGTTCGTTCACCGTTCGTTCAGCGTGCGTTCACCGTTCGTTCACCGTGCGTTCACCGTTCGCTCTCCGTTCACAGTTTTGCGTTCACCGTTCACCGTGCGCTCGCGTTCACCGTTCACAAAGCGTTCAGCGTTCGCTCTTCGTTCCGTTCACTTTGCGTTCACCTTGCGTTCAGCGTTCACCTATCGTTCAGTTTTCATTGCCATTCGGAACTCCCAAGTGAAAGGACTTATCTTTTTGTAGGTAAGGAGTTACAGATTTTTTAATTTAATAACTAACATATCGTGTTTGAAGAATCATTATTTCATGGGGGAAAATATCTAAGATATATATTTTTATTATTCTAACTTAGCTATTAGGTTATTTATTAAATTACTCTGGAAAATAAATGTTGTTATAAGCACATTCTGTACCTATGTAGAACGATGCTGAAATATTAAATTTAACTAAGGGCAATTTTGTTGTTTTGTTAAAGACGACAAATCGTTAATGGAGATATAATTATCTAAGTCAAATAATTACGCAGCAAAATTACGAAAATATTTATTTCTAACGCGTTTTTTAACTCAGTTACTACAGAAAATATGATAGAACTAGTTCTGAGAGTTATACATAGTACTGCGGATATCCTGTTAATTTATTATCTTTGGAGCGAATTAAATTGATAGTGTATTTAAAGGAAATATTTATTTAAAATGTAATGCACTACAGAATTTTCGCTACTATAATACATGTATGTAAAGTCTATAGTTATAGAGAAAAAAATTCTTTCTTCACCGTAACTTTATATGTTTGCCATTCGATATGATTAACCCCCCCCCCCTTTTCCCCTAAATCGGTTACTTAGTCAGTACTGTATTTCCAGAAAATTTTAATTAACCTGTTAAAAAAAGTTAAGGTCTTTTTTAGAACAAAAATTTCAGTCTCAAAACAAACATGCATCTAAAAAAGTCACAAAACAATAGTAGTTCACAATGTACACGTGTCGGCGGTGGTATTTGAAATTGGCAGAGAGTATGTTTCAAATTCAAGTGTTAATGCCCAATATATTTTATTCATTTATTATTCAAATGTTGGTATCAAATCTAGAAATGATAAAAATAAATGTTATAACTTGTTGGAAATACTCGCACTTCGTCTTCGATGTGACGAAACTTTCACACCTGCACAGGGTCGAATGATTTTGATTGACAGGACAAGCACGTGGACTTCGTGTGAACTTGAAGCAGGAAAATAAAAACGAGTAATACTGTCAAACAGATGGATATGATTTGTTGATTTAAAAAAAAAGTTACTTTCATTGTCTAATATATTTAGAAAAAAATTTCAGAGTTATTGTTTGATATAGGTACAAACATTTAGTGAAGCCTGAAAGGAAGGAGGGGGGGGGGGCTAAAACGGAATCTCTCTCTCTCTCTCTCATTTGTCTGTTTAATAAAAATTATAACAGCATATTACTTAAATATCAAGTTCTGAAAATTGAATTTATAACAAATAAAATGAATATGTATCTTTGTATTTTCTTGTTCGAGTATAATCTCGGCCATCTACAGATACATGTAGAAGTCTGCTCAATAAATCATCATGAAAAATAGAAATGACACATAATATATTATTGTATTAAAATTTAAAATACGAGCGTATAAATGCAAAACGTCCACTGACCTTTGTAATTAATTTTTTTCATTACTTTACATGAAATCGCCTTGACACGGAGATATATGAATGGATGTTACAATCGCTTTAATTCATTCTATAAGTCAGAAGTTTTCTCTGATTTGTTATCAAATAAGAATGAACATTTTTATTTTCCAACTAAAAAAAATATCTTTTATACTTCAGCGTTCGGCAACAATTGCAATGTTTTAATGCGTTAAAAATCGTATGATTAAAAACTTAATGTGCATGAATCGTCTTTCTTAGGACAATTTTGGAGAATTTATTTTATTTACTTATTTATTCATTCATTTATTGGTTTACTTATTTATTTATTACTTTTTTTTTGGCACCTGACATTATAATACAATAAAATAGTCAATGCAAGGAAAAGATCAGAGGCATTCCGAATATATCGTTCATCTAGCGTTCACCGTTCGTTCACCGTTCACTTTGCGTTCGCGTTTGCGCTCCGTTCGCGTTCTGCGTTCGCTCACCGTTCACCGTTCACACATCGTTCACAAAGTTGCGTTCAGCGTTCACACATCGTTCACTCACCGTTCGCTCTGCGTTCGTTCAGCGTTCGTTCACCGTTCGTTCAGCGTTCGCTCACCGTTCAAGTGGGAAAGTAGAACGTTTCAGGGACTGTATATTTGTTGATAAGATTATGTAATACCAATTCTGTCATGAATGAGTACTGAGGATATGAGAATACATCACTTGGTGTTATTGGCGCCTATTGGTGATATGAACATATTTCATAAAGGGCGCCCTCATTTTTTGAAGGACATCTTGTTATGAAAGTTTTGTCTGGTCATGGCAGCTGTATTTCTCCTATAATTGCTTGTGTTGGATCTCACACAATCAATACCCTTCCATGAGTTATAGTTATATTAATCTCTTGTCTGTGGCAGTGTTTGACAAATTAAATTTAATTCATTTTTTCACACAAGGAGGGAGCATTTCCAACTTCTGACATTTTAATTTTCACGTCTGGTTCATTAGGTCTTGATTGTATGTTCCTTGTGCTTAGTCAGTAGTCTTACCCCCTTGGTTGAAAAAACTTGGTCAAAAAGTTATTATTCTGCATGTAACAGTGAGTGATTCTTTTGAGTACTTTTTGGGGAATGGTTTTCACAGTGTTAAGTCATCTTAAAGTCACAATGGATTAGATGTTGATTTATCAAAAGCACAAAGAATTTTCTTGTGTATAAGATATTATGGAAAGTTGATTGACTTTTACAAACCCCAGTTCTGAGTTTCTCTAGAGATAACAGAGATATGGTTTGGACTTGGTGAAAGATGAGGGGTGATTTCTTTTCCCAGATCCCTAGATATAAATTGCTGCAGTAGCTTCTTGTGGAAGATTTTTTTTTTCATTAATGGATGTAGCTTTTATATTTCTCAGCTTTCCTTATGTATTTCATCTTTGTCAACTTGGTGCTACCCCACCAAGATATCATGAATTATTCAAGGTTTTGGTCGATATCTTACACCTGAAAATTGATTAAATTGCAGACAAATATAATTACATCAGGCATTCATTTTTTCTCCTTTAAGCTAATTGCATTCTGTGAAAATGTGTTGTTGTAATGCTGGTGTGCTTATAAAGATTAACATTTGATCCACTTGATGAGTAATGCAAGACTTGATTTTATTTTTTTTGTTGTTTATGAATACTCTTAAAACCAGAGGAATGTGTAGTAAAAATCTAGTTTACATGAGCTTTTTTGATGTTTTTGTTGTTGAACACCATGACGTAATTGTACTGAAATATGAGAATTCTATTGGACCAGATTTGAAAATAATTTATAGAGGGTATACCATTGACCCTAGTTGGAACAGGTAATTCACCTGCCAACAACATAAAGATTATAAATTGTTAGGGAATATGTGTCTTCAGTGTCTGATAATGATTGTTGATTGGGGCAGAATTCCAGACAAATGTTCTATTGTTACAGAATTAATTGAGTCCTGTCCTGTTTATACATGCATTCCCACTGCACTTTGAGCACTGACATTGTACAATCCATCTTACAGTCATTAATCAGAATTGAAGACCAGGGATCTGATACATAACACACTCAGTAATCTGTCTGGCTCATAGTCTTTGCTACAAAGGGTTTTTCATTTGATGATTGGTGTTTTTTTTTTTTTTTTTTTTTTTTTTTTTTTTTGCATTTTCAGTTTTGAAGATTGATGAACATTTTTGCTGCATTTCTAATAAATTCCAGTTGATCAAGATTAGATACCAAAAAATACTGTCCATTGCTGTCAATTAAGATGCCACATTAAACCTAGTTTTTAATTCCTTAGAAATTATGTTTACTTTTTTTTCAATGGAAGTAAAAATGCACTGAAAGGTATTCATTGCAATAATATTTTGACAAATATTTTTGATTTGCTTTCAACAGAAATCCCAGACATATATGGTACTGGATATGATATAGGTAGTGGTGATGATCTGTACAGTGGTAGCGGTGACCATCACTTTGATGGTTCAGGAGGGGGAAGTGGACACCACATTGGGAGCAGTGGGGATGGATCCATTGGAGATGATGAGGACTTTAACATTAAACCTACACATAATCATGGCCACATGAACAACTTCAGACCACCACCAACAGTAGGAAGTGGGGATGACCATCCTAATCGTTATAATCCTCATTTACCAGGGGGTATTAATCCTCCTGTTAATAAGCCAGGGGGACAGGATCCTACATATAATGTTAAGAAATTTACCCCAAGGCCACCATCTTCAAAACATAAAGAGGATCAAAGTGCTGGAGTCAGTCCATCTGTGTCATGGTGGTGCTTATCTGTTGTGCTCATTTTCATCAAGAGTGTGCAGATCATCATGGGATAATCAGATTCCTCAAAAATGCACATGTGATTAAGATTGTACAAGAAATAATTCATTGTATAGGTTGTGTATATTTATATTATGATAATATGCATACTCACATATAAATGTATTACAAATCAGAGAGGGAAAAAAAAATTAAAAAATTAATTGTTTCATTAAAAGCTTAATGACCAGGTGTGATACCTTCTTTTTCCACATGTGCATATGCATTTACTTGGCAAATGTGATAAATTCTTGTACAAAACTTTCTAGAATGGAGAGACCATGCAATTGGTCGGGTGCCATATGTTTTCTTCAAACAAACTATTAAAATTCATATGTACTGAACTTCAAAATGTTTGAAGAATGAAACACAATTCATAGTGACCATTTAACAGTCAGAGCACAAATAGTTTGATTGTACAGACAGTTGTATATGCTGTACTAAGAAGAGATCAGTGTATAATGTGATTTCATCAGTGATATCATCTGAGGCCAAAGACACATGAATAAACCCTGGCTGTCGTCCTGGCAGCTGACTTAACATCAAGTGCTAATGTAGGTGGGTACACCTGGCAAATCAGTCGCAACAGTCTTAGAAGTATTTCTATAATAGACTGGAATCCTTAATGATTGTGTAGAAAAAGGCCTGATTTGCTAAGAGATGATTTGTTTTTCTTTTTTTATAATTCATGTGTAGATTGTGTGTACATATTGTATAACTTTTCATGTTGATATTGAAGTATTTTTAGTGTTTTAACTGATTGCATGTTTATGACTGATTGATAAAGACAGACAAGGACAGCAAATTGTTAAATCATTGTAATCAAAAATAAAATGCAATGTTACTGTCATCTTTTTTCAGTATTTCAGTTGACTATTATTTTTAAGTAAAGAAAATTGTGTAGAATATTTTAATGCCGTTACACAACCACAAACCTCATATATACTGTAGCAATGTTTATATTATTTTTCCTTTGACTGTCACAGTGCACATGTACTGTGAATTTCAATTTTCCATACCAGAAATGGAAGCATTCTTTACTATGATATTCTACAGCATGTTTTTATTTAGCTCAGGGTTTTCTAGCTACTTCTAGTTTCTCATGCAGCATTCATTTTTTTTTTCTCAATTTATTTTCTTTGTACTTAAAGGTACTTAAGTGATTTTAACTTGGGTGTTTTAAAAATTCATTTGATAAGGATGATTTATAGTTTTTATGACAGTTTTCACTTCACTTAGAACAGAATCAAAATTGGTGAACTTCACAAAACAATGATTTTGTGTTATGTGATTGAAAAAAATCTCTTTGCTTGATTTTACTTTAAACTTGTAATATGTACATAATGAATCTTTGTACAGAGTTTTTTTTTAAAGAAAGTCAATCAGTGCTCTGATTTTTGTGTTAATTTATTCAAGCTTTGTACATTTTGCTGTCCACCCATTATAGATTATAGATGATTTCAGACTTGTGTCTTTGAGAATTTTATCCTACAGTATATACATGTAAGCGTACTGTATGAGTATCTGGACTTGATGTAAGTTAATTACACACCAAAGAACTGTTTTGTACATCTCTTTAATATGTAGTCATATATTGTTTGCATACCCAGAGAGGAAAAAAAAATATGTAATCTTTATCCATCTTGAATATTGGACATATCTTTCAACAAAGTTGTGTTTTATATACATGTATGTACTTTATCACATCAAGGTGCTGTGGTCATTTTTTCACCGTTTTTTCCTTTTGTATACCTCGTGTGAAGCTTTTAGGTGTAGAACTGACTGGGCACTGAAGGTATTGAGATACAGCATCACCTCTCGACCACTAGAAACATCTACCCACCTAATGATTTTATCAAATTGAGTGCCTTCCTCAATCCCAGTAATGTACTAGACTATAGCAATGTCGCTGTGTCATTTTCTACCTATTTTTGCATAATCCATAACTACTTAGATTTGAATTCATAGATATTTTTCATTTTTGATACCAAATTATTTCTTTGAAGATTTAAAAAATCATAATTTATCTAATATTCTGTTTGGTTAGGCACTGGTTCTGTTATGCAAAGAATGGAAATAAATTATTTAGCATTAGGATTTTGTTAATAAGAAATCCAGTGATGTCATGAGTGGCATAAGTTTTTTTTTTTTTTTTTTTTTTTTTTTTTTTTTGGTCTCTGTGTATTTTTAAGGTTATTTTTTTCTTTTTCTTCCTTTGGGACTGGCATTCCCTATAAATATACCTGTTTAAGATGTTTATTTTTACACTGAATTTTATGACTAAGTTAAACAAGTTTTACTTCCTTTTAACATAACAAAGTAAGCTTGAATAGACAAAGAGGAAAAGTTAAAAGTTTTTAGTTCGTCATTTTTATCCTTTTTTTAAATTTTGGTACATTTTGAATGCTACAATTTTACAGTAAAATGTTTGCACAGCCAGCTGATGTTTGTGTTGCTTTCATCGTCATCCTTATCTTACCTTTCATCAAATCATCTCTCTGTTGCAGACATTTTAGTAGCATTGTCAATGTTTTTGTTCTTTGATAGTATCATACAAAATTATTTTACTGGAATAAAAACTGTATACATAAAAAATATCTGGCTTCTTCATTGAAAGCTACAGTGGTCTATGAAAATGAGTGGAAAGATAACCTGATCAACTGAAAGATGAGACAATGGGATCATATATGAAAGTGTTCAATTCATCAAACACATTTCTCACACGATTCTGTTGTTGAACACCAGGATGACTTGTCGTCTCCTAGGTTGTTTCTTGGTACCAAGAGTTCTTTGAGAAAGTGTTGAATTCACACTTTCAATTTTTAAACAGATACCTAACAAATGTGAATTCAACGAAAGTATAACTTGTGAAAAACGATGCGTTTGTGAAACACTGATGCCCCCGTATGGCAACTTATAGCAAAGGTTAAACTTTCTCAAATGGAAATCAAATATGTTGGTACCCAAAGTAAGGTCTTGTCTTAAGAAATATACCTATGAAATATGAAAGCCCTAGCAGCAACCATTGAAAAGATATGGAAAAGGTTAAAGTTTTTCAAAAGTAAGTCAAACATCAACATCAAATGGTCAAAATTAATGGTGCCCAAGGAAAGGCCTTCTCAAAAGAAAAACACATGAAATATGAAAGCCGTAGCACCAATCGTTCAAAAGTTATGGTCAAGATTTATATAAAGTTTTTCAAAAGTAAGTCAAACATCAAGGTCAAGGTCAATGGATTACAATTGTTGGTATCCAAAACGTCTTGTCACAAGGAATAGACATGTTAAATATGAAAGCCCTAGCTACAACTGTTCAAAAGTTATGGCCAAGGTTAAAGTTTTCCACAAGTAGGTGAAGGTCAAAGGTTCAAAGTTGTTGGTATCGAAAGGAAGGTCTTGTCACAAGAAACGGACGTTTAATATGAAAGCCGTAGCACCAACTGTTCAAAAATTATGGCCAAGGTTAAAGTTTTCCAAAACTAGGTAAAACTCCAAGGTCAAAAGGGTCACAGTTGTTGGTCTTGTCACAAGGATTACACGTGACGTATAAAAGCCGTAGCAAAAGCCGTTCAAAAGTTAAGGCCAAGGTAAAAGTTTTTCAAAAGTAGGTCAACTTCTAGGTCAAGGTCAAAGTGTAAAAATTGCTGGTATCCAAAGGAAGGTCTTGTCACACGGATTACACATGTGAAGTTTGACAGCCCTAGAGCCGATTGTTCAATCAAAAGTTATGGCCAAGGTCAAAGTTGGGTAAAATTTTTGCAAAATGGGTCAAACTCCAAGGTCAAATATGATGGTACCCAAAGAGAGGTCTTGTCACAAGGAATACACATGTGAAATATGAAAGACATAGTTTCAACCAATCAAAAGTTATGGGCAATGTTAAAGTTTTTGCAGACAAACAGATAAGCAACTAAACAGACAGACTGCTCATCTGTGTTCGGGGGTATATAGTTTTTGCCCTGTCCATCTAGCTGTCTGCCTGTTTGTCTGTTTATCTGTTTGTCTGCAAAAACTTTAACATTGCCCATATCTTTATCATTGCCCATTGTCCAGACGGACGGACAGGGCAAAAACTATATACCCCCAAATCTTTGATATAGGGGCATACAAATTCTCGATACACACAGGAGAATGTTGACCATCTAGTTATCATTGGTCAAGAGAAAGATAAAATGCCTCAGATTAAGCAAATAGAAAGCAAAAAAAAAAGAAAATACTGTGGTAAAAAAAAAATGAGTTGCTGAGTAATGCAAAAAAGCTTTTATTCTTTGTTAAAAATGAAAATAGAATTTTCAACCTTTGGCCTAATATTTCAACTTCAAGCAGAAAATAGCTAGTCCATTTGTCAGAGAGAAGCTTGCCCTCAATTATGATGGATGCTCTTTGTACAGTCATTCCGAATAAACTCTTTATCTACATTAAAACAATGACCCTTGCCAAACAGATTTATACATGCTACATATGGCTATGTAAAACAGAATATATCAGTTAGACATTGAAGGATTACAATTTTAAATCTCTAGCAAGTCCAGTATTGGAATTGATTTAGACCAACAAAAAAAATCCAGTCTGGGCTTCACATTTTTCTCAAACCAAGGCCATGGGTACTTGTTGAAAGATTCCCTCCCACCCTCAAACTCCAGGCTTGTTGGATTTTTTTTTTTACAAAACCCAAACAACTGTAACATTTCTCAAGACTACATAGAAATGTAAAAAAAAAAAAATAAATAAATAACAATAAAGGATTACAATTACCAGTAGTCATACTGAATTAACGATTACAATTAGTCATACTGAATTAACGATTACAATTAGTCATACTGAAGTAACGATTACAATTAGTCATACTGAAATAACGATTACAATTAGTCATACTGAAGTAACAGCTTTTGAGGAAAGGATGGAACTGTAACTGGGGAATGAAGTACCGGTATTTTATGTTGTATATACAGACATCCACAAGAATAAGGCTATGATGTCAAGACCTTATAATATGATAATGAAAATTATTGATAACATGCACTTTAGTTTGGATGCCACTGTAAGGGCAATCAAGAGAATGACTCGGGTGACCAAAGGGGTCTCTTTTTAGAGATACCACATTACACAAAAAATGTTTTGGAAACTTTCTATATATTTCAGGCGCAGATCCAGGAATTTTTTCCAGGGGGTGTGCACTCCAGTCAAAAAAATTTCCAACCCAAAAGTTTCTTGACAAGCAAAAAAGAAAAAAAAAAACAACATAAATTCATTTCCCTATCCAGAAAAGAACAAGGTACGGTTTCAATACAAATCTGGCCCTGTGTATTTCTTAAAAATAAAAGTGATGTAAAAAATTAAAACTCATGCTTTTTGAATCATTGAAATTCCATGCAGAAAGATCATACAAATCTTTTTTCTCACATGACCTTCCAAATGCTAATTGTGACGTCATAAACTTGTGCATTTTCCCGTATTTTCTTAAAAAGTTGCAGAAGACATCAATTTTCAATGGAATTTTCTTTCATATAATATTGTCCACAGGCATCGCCCACAAAGATTTTGATATATGTGATTTTTCACAGAATTTTACACAACATATCCGAAAATTATAGTGGGCGATGGCTGTGGACATTATTTTCTTAAGGAAAATAACCCTTGAAATGGGTCATTTTGAGGCTTTTCCTGTTTAAAATAGAGAAATGCATCAAATTAATGACGTCATATATCCAGAATGGTACTCCATCATGCTTTATTCTTTCCTGATTTATTACAGTCATATACTCAACTAATATTTAAGCCAGTTTCAAAACTTTTTGAAAACATTAAGTTTTTAGGGCACAATAAAGCTAAAACCATACCTTCTTCTTTCTTGACAAGCAAAAAAAAAAAAAAAAAAACGGAAAAAAAAAAAACAAAAAAAAAAACATAAAATCCATTTCCAGATTGTGGGAAGCACCTATTTCATGGTGGTAATGGTGGGGTCCATGTTTTCGGGGGGGGGGGGGGGGGGGGGGGTCCAAAGTCATTCTTCATTTGCTTTAGTATATACTTTTAGTAACTCTGCAAATTCCAGGTGGGGTCTGGACACCCCCCCCCCCCCCCACCTAGATCCGCGCATGTATTTTTCAATATAGCACTTCAACACTGAATAGTATATTATCCTGGAAATACAAAAACAGACAGGAGTTTCATGATTTTACTTGATTAAGTGTTTTTCATAAAGTACATATAGTAACATAATATTAATTGAGAATGTGATACACTGCCCGCATAAAGCAAATATAATAATTATAATAATAATAAAATTATTATCACAAATATCACAGTCAACACAGATTAAATGACATTATATCAACATAAATCTACAGATCATCCTTCAATATGCATTATAGTCTCATACTTCCTACAACACTACTGAACAAATTGTGGGCTTGCATTAAACTGCTTCATTTTAACCATTTAATAATAAATAATTACAGGAAATAAACATCAATAGATTTGGAGATTCTACAAAGAGATAAGGTGGTAAAATGAATCTAAAATTAATGACGCTGTAAAGTACATAAACCCTACAGCTTATATTACCCCATAAAATACCCAAACCTGATTATATACAATGATATTCTCTGTCAATACACAAATAAAATTCCCTGTGTAAGTTATCAATACTTCTCTTTAAGCCTCTCATTATAATGTATCCAACTTTTCATTCATGTAGCAGTAATTTTAATTCTGTAAGATTATTGAGGAAATAGGTATATTGCATTATGTAATTTTAACTGATCATGACCGAGTCAACCAGTGCTGACTTTGTTTTAACTGCCAGCTATAAAAAATAATACACAGAACCCTTCCTACTAAAGCCACACCTAAAAGTATAATTATGTAACCTGCAAAAAGAATGCTCCTAACTATATAGTGACAAACTTCACGCCAGTAATCCCATAAACGCAGTCGTAAATTGTTATCACATGCAAACGAATGATCTATTCTTTTTAAAAGGATGAGCTAGTAAAGATGTTTGATCAGTAATGTGTGAAGAAATTGCTCATTTCAAAGCAGAATTGGTGAAATAATACTTAATGCACTCCTAAAGATCAAACCTTTGGCTAGAAATTTTTACCAGAATAAATGGAGCATTCAAAATACTGTTCTGTTGATTCATTGAACAGACTACAAAATTTACATCTTTACTTGGATTTTTTTTATAAATGCTAATTTATCTTTTGATATAAGATGATAAATACCCAAAACCATTTTAAAGAGGGAATGTTTATATTGCAACAGTTAAAAAAAAAAGGATTACATATACATGTACTTCCCAAAACATAGGTCATAATGTATCCCAAATGAAAATGTAGCATTGATAAGAATTTTACTGAGCAATCCTGAAGTTACTCAATGAAATATTCATGTTCTTCTTTTTGTTCAATAATGGCAGGTATGGAAATAAATGTGCTCTTCTGACACATTTGTTCTTTAAAGACATTTGATGTGCAACTGATGTTTTCTGATATATGGCTATATAAATATTTTATCTATATTATATTTGTAAAATGAGTGTTTTACCCCGATAATTAATTAAGTCAATGTCAGCTAAAAGCATTCTACAAGCCTCTCACGAAGTGAAAATTAAAGTGCATATTTAACAATTGCATAGGAAATCATCATAAAATATTAAATGAATGTACACAGAAAAATATGAAACAAATATACTTAAGCAAATTATAACAAAACCTAAGTTCTTCACTCATATGTATAACAGTGTTGGAGAAATATACCGTACATAAAAACTAAATACGTTACCGGTACAAAAAATCAAGCACACTGGTTTACAACTACTAACATTTAAAATTCAATAGCAGGCTGCAAAAGATCAAGTACATCTTCCAAATAGCACATCATCTCCTAGTTTAACTGATATAAACAGAAAAGTTACTGTCCACATAGGAAGAAAAAAAAATCAGATAAACTGTATTCATTGCAAACCAACAAAAATGATATGCTTTTCATTTACCTAAAGTTTTGAGTGCAAATTTGCATGGAAAACCCAAGCACTGATTGCAAAGCAATGTTCTGTGAGCTTTCTTTGTGGGAACCTTGTTTCAGTCAAATAAGGCCATTCTCTATTCTGGTCCAGTGACAAGCTCACAATGGTGGATCTAAGATCAGCTAAGATCAGGATGATACAATAATGAGCCAACATCAGAGGGGGTGGTCTTGAGTCAGCTCTTTGGAGAGGTTAATATCAGATCTGCTTACATCAGGTGGTACTACGCTGAACTAACATCAGAGGTGGCACTGACAATGTTGAACACAGTTGACCCTCGTGGTGTGAATCCCTGCTCTCCAGAAAAAATCTGTAAAGCAAGGAAGTTCTGAGTTACAGATCTTGGTACTTTTATCATATCTGTATCTAAGGGAAACTCTCTCTTTACACATTAATCCTAATTTCCATTTAATCATACATCTAATACTGTTATGATAACATCTTTGTCAACAATTAAAAAACGTATAAAGGAGACACATTGTTTCTTCAGATTTCATTGTACATGTAATGCACTGATAAAGTGTTGAATAGAACTTTAATGTCCAAGATGTTTATAATAGCAATGTGATCCAGACATGCCTGAAATGCAGCATCAAAAGCTGAAATATGAGATTTCCTGTGCAATAAAGAATTAAATCACAACCAAGAGATAAATATTACTAAACTAGAGCAGAGTCATTTTAGGACTTCTCAGTTATTTTTGTGGCAATGAAAAATAAGATTGAATGTGTGCCATAACACAGGTGTCTGATTTTTATAGGTAATTCTTCCCTTAAGTTAGTTTGTGAAAAGGAACTGTGTATATTCTTTATCATTTACAATAAATTATGATACCAGGTTTGATGGCAGTAACATTAATATCATGATGTTAATCATGTGTATTAAACCTGTACCTGTATCTGGTGATTCTGATACAGAACAATAGTAATCCTTGAAATCATGAATAGGAATAATTAAGAATATGCTTTTTATGCAAAAATTAAACCCCTTAACTTCATTTTTATTTAGGGATATTAGTTTTAAACTAGTTAAACATATTAAATGAAAAGATAAGAAGTACAAGTTTACACTAATTAAACAGAGATCTCATACTGTAATAACTGAGAGTCTGTGATGGTTAATCATTAATAAAATCATTACTACACATATACAATAACATCTAAAACAAAAAGAAGAAAAAGAGAGATCAGATAACCTACAAATGCTCACCCAGTGAAATACAGGAACAAAGATATAAAGGTTCCAAGAGGTTCTAAGACATATCAACTGAAAAGGTCTGCTGATAATAGACCCAGTGTGCTAGGTACAGTCAAACCACAATATCTTAAAGTTGACACACTGAGAAAAAACTTCAAGATATCCTAGAGTTCAAAATATTAAGATTAATATAAGTAAAGAAAACATGGATGGGACTTCCAACTCACTTCAACTTATCAATGTTCAAGATACCACAGCTGAACTATACAAAGAACAAGGTTCACTAAGGGCCTTTTTGGCCCTGTGAATTTCTGAAAAAGTGAAACTGCTTAGTTTGAGTTGACAATGTATTAAATATCATTAAGACTCTTAGTGACTCCATATCTATCAAAAATGACATAATTTTCTGGCTGGTCAATGCATTATGAGGTCATGAATTGCATCATTTTCCCCATATCCTGAAAATACCTACAAAAACTGATATGATGAACTTTTACGCTATTTTTCAATATTTCGTATAGAGAGCAACTTCTGATCTAAAATGGGCAAGTATATAATCATGATAGAACTGTGTCTGAAGATCGCAAAACGTTTCCTTCTTTGGATCAAGGGGTGTGCTCATATTTTGATTCTTCACTGAAAGTACTGAAATAAACCTGTTTTCTTCAAAATTCAAGAACATTGCAATTTCACAAAGCCTGTTTACAAATACCTGGACTCTCAGAGGAAATGTTTTATAGAACTCAATTATAATTTTCACTTGGAAAAGCAAAATACTGTATGTTATATTTTATCCCTTTGTTTAATTTTATTTATGTGATTAGAATATGAGAAGATCAGACAATAGATGAATAAATTAAAAATATACGTATATATAGATAAAGCAAGGCAACATTCGATCCCAGTGCAAATTATGTCACTTCAGTTTCACACACAGGCAAACTAACCCACCCACGAACACACACACACACACATGGTGCATTACTATATCCCCTCCACAACTCTTTATATTATAAAAATTCTTGTATAATTCTTTTATTCAATTTACCTAACAATTACATCATTTACAATGATTGATTAGCACAAGTGAGTAACAATGGGAAATAACTTTTATTAAAGCAGAGTTTGTTTAACATCTCTTCATGAATTTTTCACTCATATTGAGATGCCAACCACTTGCCAGTGGAGGGCTGCAAATTTAGACCTGTATTTGGCACTTATGGCCTTTGAGCAGTGACAGATCTTTTTGGTGCCAGATCTACTGCAACACATGACCTCGATTTATATGGTCTCATCTGAAGGACCAGTCTCCACATCACACAGTGGATTCTAACTAAGGATCAACTCCTTACACCACAACTCTAGGGCAAATGCTTTAACTACTTCAGCATTTGGGCAATTTTAAACATAGAAAAAATTCCCAAACATGATTATAATAGAGCCAAACCACAACTCCATAACCCCTGACACACAGGCCATGAAATTCACAATTTTGGTTGAAGCACTCTTGCTCATCAATATCATAACCATGCACTTAGTTTGTCTTCTAAATATACAGGGGAGAGAAGAAGATTTTTAAAGAATTTATGCATGTTCACTAAATGATCTAAATATTCCAACCCTAACACCAAATTTAGGAAGAGGCACCCTTGCTCATCATATCTATGCACATAGTTTGTCTATTAAATATATAAAGGGGGAGGGAACAAGATTTTTAAAGAATTTATGCATTTTCAAAATACTATCAATAGAGCCCCACATTATCATTAGAACCCCTGCCCCTGGCTCTGGGGCTATGAATTTCATAATTTTGGTAGATGCCTCAATGCTAATTACTAGTACCGGTATAATAATGCCAGCAGAGACCAAGAAATTCATTTTTTTGTTACCCTTTGCCCATAAATGCTGTTTAACAAAATTGGTTGAAATTGGTTCTGGCCCATTCCAGAGGAGAATCTGAAATGTTCAAATTTTAATGCGCAAGGAAAGATGAAAACAGATAGCAGTAGGGCCCTTGATTGGTTAATAAAATATATTGCATCTTGTATCATATCAAAATTACATGACAAATTTGGATTAAAAAATATCCAGTGAGCTTCATTACAAATTCTATAGTTGTCAACCCTTTCAAACATTTTATTGTTTGTTATTCCTTTCAATTTTTTACCATTACCCAAACAGCATCTGGCCTAGGACTGACATCACCATAGTCTGTCTGAGTCACTACAATTAGTCAATGATGTAATACCACTGACATGTCTTCTATTGTTTACACTGTCCATGCATGAAGCTAGCATAATGAATGCCCTAATCCTAAATGCCAAGGACATAATGCACATTATACATTCCTTGGGAATTAACAGGCCATGCATTGCAAATGGTGGCTGGGGATAATTAATCCAGTAATTATATGTAACATAATATTTTTCTTTGTGTTTTTCCAAAATGCATATTTTTTATGAATAATTTGGTCACACTGCATATGTCTGATTTTTTAGTTCACCTGAACCAATGGCTCATGAACAAATGTGTCCATCTGTCTGTCATATGTTGTCAATAAAACATTAAGATTTTCAACCTGCTGGACTAATTTTGACAAAATTTTCCACATAGAATCCTCGAATGACTTTGTTCATAGTTGCTCCATATGCAAGAATGGTGTCATAGTATGGTGTCAAAGTTTAACATATAGTAATACTTCAGATCACCATTTTTTTGCAACACCTTATTTTCATGAGATAGTTATTTGGTATACTTATACATGTAAGCCAGACAAAATTTTCAAGAATTGTAGAATATAATCTATTGTAAAACAAAATATATTCACAAGAATAAGTCCCAGTATTTCTATGTAATACAGATTCAAGTTTGTTAAAAACATGACCCTACGGAGTAGGTTATGGCCACTATTTGGGAGCAGGCTAATTTAAGGGATTTCTGTCCTCTGCTTCAGAACGAAATAAGTGGGAAAAGACCTAAAAAAATGGAGATGCAAAGGGATAAAGGAAAGATGGATTGATCTTTATCTTTTAGCCTCAAAATCAATAGGGAGTTTTCTTATACTAGAGTATCTAGAACCTAAACTTTCATTGCAAAAGCTAAAAGAGAGCAATATATGAATTTCTAACCTTGGCCTTTGACCTCAAAATAAATAGGGTCTTCTTTAAGTTATAAAGGAGTTATGATATAAAAATTTCATTGCAAAATATCAAAGAGAACTCCAGTTATCATCTGAATATTTCTTATGCACTACATTCAAACTTTGTTATCTTGAATTCAATGGGACCAAGAAAGAACTTCCAGTTATTCAAGAATTCAATGTTACAATAAATTAAGAAAAGGTTAGAACTTCAACCTCATTTCAACTTATCCATGGTATTCAAGATATCAAAGTTCAAGATTCCGAATTTCAACTATATATGAATTTCTGACCTTGGTCTTTGACCTTTTGACTATAAAATCAACAGGGGTCTTTTTTACAGTCATAGGAAGTTAAGATAAAAAATTTCATTGCAAAAGCTTTAAGTACTTTTTCATATATCATCCTTAAATGAAAGTGTTACAGACAGACAGAATGACAGATAAATTAAGAGACCCAAATTAATATACCTCGCTTTCAATGAAAGTGGGGGACAAAAATTTATTCAGAAATACATTGATATTTGCAAGAACCAGAAGGTTGTAATATTTTTAGTTGATATTAAGCCTCAATAAATGTGTTGCAATGAAATCATGAACTTTAATTTAGTGACAAGGGGCTTCATTTATCTACATGTTCATTTGACAGAAAAGTGACTTGGGTGAGCATTGTGGCCCATGGGCCTCTTCTTTACTATTTTGGTGGAATTTATAAGATAATTCAATGAAAAATGAAAACCAGATTGATAACTGACAGTTACTGTGTTACAAAAGCATTTAAAAGGTGTTGTAAGACAATATTATGCTATTATCAGCACGCTATTTAGTACTGTTAGGTGACAATCTACTGTAATAGCTCTCCTTACCATGTCATATATAAAACTGTAACAAGTTAATAAGAGGCATTCAGTAATAACATTCATGCATATTAGATTAAACAGGAAGGTTGATCAAGAAGGTGGCTACAATTTAACTGATAATAAACTATAAATGCAATTAAAGAAATATAAAAGCATTTTAATACGAAAATGCTACAAACTAGTAAAAATATAAACATATAAAGGACATGAATGACATTCCATTTCTCTTTAATGAGTGTTTTTCTTTTTAAAAAGTTGCATGCAGATTTAAGGTTTCAAGCAGATACAGGGTAGAATCTTTTTACCTTTTCTCCAAACATGTCGGAGAGTTTATCCACGATTTCCTGGTAACCTGCAGACAGAGACTCATGGTACTCCTTCTGTTCTGTTGTTATCAGTGTACCATTCAATTCCAAAGCATCAGAACACACATAAACAAAGTCTCTACAATGTCAAAAAATGTAGGATTTTACTAAAAAATGGGGGGGGGGGGGGGGGAATGGTTCCTGAAAAATTGTGCTCTAGTTCTCAGCAGTGCTAGTAGTATCAATGAATTGGAAAAAAATTCAATATTATTTTACAAATAGCGTGATTACTACTAGGCAAATGGTACATATTGCTATCATTAATTGGGTTTTTTAATTTTCTGCATGATTTCCTGAATCTTAGATACTATTTACTTACTTGAAAATTGCTTTAAGGGTGTCTGTCTTGTCCAATGGGAATTTGTTTATTTTCTCTTTGGTCAGGAATGCTTGAGCATATGCCATTGGACCTGCATTTACCTGTAGAATAAGAACCTTTATTTACATTTAACTCTAAATGATATGGCATTTTCATAGAGGTGTTTGTTAAAATATTGATCATATTAAACAAGCAGATAACATGTTTCAGGAAAAATTTAATTAATAGTTAAGTGACAAGATATTTACTACAGTTTGAAAAGGATTGGGAGGGGGAGGGACTCATAGGCAACAACTGACACTTGGGTATTTGAGGCTAAGCACAATCAAAGAAGACTTAATACAGGTTTCTTTTTAATGATTGGGTCATCAAGGCAGATTATCTCTGCAATTCACCTTGACATTATTACATCAACGATGGCAGAACCCTGAATCCAGAGTTTAGAGATTTGAAATTGAGCAATGACAGACTAAAAACTGGCTATATTTACCAATAACCTTGCTGCTGGAGCTAGAGTTTCTTGAGATCCGGTTGTGACAGACTGACCACCTCTAACAAAGCTGTCTATACTTACACTTAAAGCATCTTACACTGCACGTGTAGTACATTGAGATATGTCATGATATACTCACCACTTCTGCAATTTACTTGCCTCTACCGACTTGAACATTCATAAGTTTGAGCTAAACATTTTTTTTTTTCAAGATCCAGTTAAGACACGATGTACACTCCTCTGGTACATCTCACTATATTTACTGTGGAATCATTTTAATGGGGGGGGGGGGGGGGGGGGAGGGTCATTGTTTGTGGATAACCAAAATTTTTCTTGTTTGTTGGGATGTAATTTTGTGGGCAACTAGTGTATACATACGATTCTATGAATATAGGATGACAAGGTAATCTTTCATGGGGACATAAATTTGTGGGTAGAATGACCCACAAATCCATGAACATTGGTCAGCTTAGTCTGAAATATCTGATGTTTTCCAGGCTTTTTTCACGATTTTGATATTTAACATGCCAGAAAAACGTCAGAAACGGCTCCGTTACGAAAATTGGAAATTTCACCTTCTCCAACCGGACTTGATTTTCGATACTTGAGAACCGAATTAAATGCCAAACTCACAATTTATCAATAGCACAATGCTTTTAGTACTCACAAATATCGATGAAAAGAAAACATCACTCCACATTTCGATACAGGACTTGCAAGATTTTAAAATGCACGAAATGAAAACAAATCTAGACAGTCAGATAAAATTTTTTAATCGGATTGTATATTTTAAAAGCGAACCATAAAAAACGATGTTGGTGAGTACTAAAAGTATTGTACTATTGATAAGTTGTGAGTTTGACATTTAATTTGGTTCGCAGCATCGAAAATCAACCTGAGAATGCCGCCTCCAGTTGCAGGCTGCGAATTCCCAGTTTTCGTAATGGCGCTGGTTCTGATGTTTTCTTGGCACATAAAATATCAAAATCGTGAAAAAAGCCTGGAAAACGTCAGATAATTCGGACTATGGTCAGCTAAGAACAACTTGGAGAAGAACTGAGCAGAAAGCAGTAGCAGCTGGGGTGGAATAGCTGGGTGTAGGCAAGGGCAGCAGCCAGCAACAGAGGGAGGTGGAGGCAGTGTATTGGGGCCTTATGTGTCAGCAGGCCAAATAAGATAGGTGAGGCAAGGAATTAGAGGCCTGAACATTAACAGAGATCCAAAGCCTGAGTTGCAATTTCCAAACCAAGCACACAGAGACTACGTAGAACCTTTCTTAAACACCTATTTACCTGAGCACTGACAGATCCCTGAAGCCTGAGCTGCAGTTTTTTGAGATCTGGTCGTGACAGATTAACCACCTCCCTGATATCCACCACTTTACTCTGCATCTCATCAATAGCCACCTCTATTGGCTGTAGGACTGTATCTGTCTTCTTCACAACTTCTATCCTCTTCTTCATGTAGGGAAAACTGTGGGATGCTGTTAACATAAACATAATAACCTAAATATATTACAAGAGATGTAGGGAAAACTGTGGGACGCTGTTAACATACACATAATAATCTAAATATATAACAAGAGATGTAGGGAAAACTTTGGGACGCTGTTAACATAAACATAATAATCTAAATATATAATATCTTTTTCTAAGCTATTTATGCTGAGAAATTTACAGTTAGTTGAACAGAAGAATGGTCTAATATCTGTCACTTTAATCTTATCCTGTAAACGTAAGTAATCAGAGATTACAGAGCTCGCCACAACGAATGTTGTCTAGTACCGGTAGTGTGCATCTTTATATGTATCATCCATGCAAGTTTGGTCAATATAGGGCTTATAGTTACTTGGAAATGAGACCTGCTCCAAAAACTTTAACCTGGTCACTCATCTGGAAAATGTAGGTCAGATCCACCATCTGAAGCAAGCATGGTTGTGTGCATCCTTACATGTATCATCCATGCAAGTTTGGTCAATATAGAGCTTATAGTTACTTGGAAATGGGACCTGATCAAAAAAACTTTAACCTGCTCCAAGAACTTTAACCTGCTCCAAAAACATTAACCTGGTCATACTTCAGCTAAAATTGCAGCATCTGAAACCTTGACTGGTACAATGAAACACACTAGAAGCATCCTCCATGCATCCCTGATTAATACAGGGCATAGAAATACTTAAAAAGAAATCTGCTCCAAAAACTTTAACCTGGGATGCCGATGCGGAGGGTATTACATAAGCTTCCCCAACTTTGTTGAGGGGAGCTAAAAATTACTCTAACCATTAATCAAATCCATGGTTGGAAATTCTGTATCTTGAACAACTCTATGTCAAATACCTGGTAAATATCAATACCATAGAGTCCCCCCCCCCCCCCTCAATTTTTCAGTCAGTGGTTTCAAGATATACCAAAGATTTATTTCAGTTGTCTTAACAACACAGTTTCTATTCACAGCATTTTTGCCATACAATTCAAAGACTCATAAATAAGCTTACTTAGCAGAATGGTTCTACGTTTACACTGCTCATGGATCTCTCCCCTAGCTTTGCCTGCCTTTGTGAATGGTGTCTCAAACATAAATCTCTTGATGTTATTGTTCCTCTCAAACTCTGTAATTCTCTTCTGTAGCTCCTTCTCCTCAAAGTAAGGTGTCACATGGGTGACTTGTATGTAGGCAAACTTCTGGTCCAACTCAGATGGGTTTACCTGTTTAAGGATTAAAAGACATTTTATTGTTGTCAGGAAATTGGGCAAAAATTCTTGTTGTTTTTTCTTTTACAAATAGGACAACCATTACATTAGGATGTGTTTTCCCATCCAATATTGTACATTAAAGACTTAGGCCCACCCACCTTATTAGAATCCATGATGAGTTTGACTGTGTCTTTTCCGTACTTTTCACTGTACATGGTTTTAAGTCTCTCACAGATCTCTGGTAGACTTGTTACCTTTGGTTCCTTGTAGATGTATTCCTTACCATCTTCCTCAACAAAGAATGAGGACTGAAAATCAAATGATAAACAAACTTAAAATAGTGCAAGCATTCAGAATTATCTATATAAAGCCTGTTCAACTGAGAAATAATTGTTCAGAATTCTGTGAAGTTTTTATAACGACAGATGTAAGTGACATTATACCCCAAAGAAAGCAATACGGAAATATTTTCCCAGCAGCCTCTTCCCCGAGGCAGTAACATCCACCACCTTTGTGTAGGCCTTGGACAGGCTGTCATAGGAACTGGCCAGTTTCTGAAAAGAGAACAGAATTCACTCTTGTAAAGAATGAAAGAAAGAAAGAATTAGAGAGGCTTCTTCCAGCCCAAAATATAAACTCTAAGATTTCATTTTCAAATAACATGTCGAGCAACTAATACATATTCTCACATCAAAGTCTCTTGAGTATTCATATATAGGAATGATCAGCTTATAAATGTCTCCCAGGATTTCATATCTTTCTGCCAGCTCCATAGATCTGCAGGCCTTCTCCAAGTATTCCACCATTGTGTCCTAACAAATAAAGAAAGATAACTGCCACAACAATCTCTGGAGAAATATCATAGTACTGTAATAAAACTTAGAGAAGTTTTGACTAAATTAAAGTTGAGGAAAATAATTTGTTTTAAATCATTAAATTAAATGGGGACTGCAAATTTGAACATTGCAAATTATCACTAATATATCATTTCCAATTTACAATGACATAAAATACACTTTTATACCTGGTCATTGGATTAAATACCCACCTCTGTATATTGCACATCCTGCATCCCTGAGTCATCCTTAATTCCAGATTCATCCCCCTCCACATTGGGGGAAATCCCAGAAAAGGCTGTACAACCCTGGGGGAAACATTCTATAAAAGAGCATTCAACATCAAAATGAAAATAGGAATCTGATTCTAAATGTAGTGTCAAAAGAGGTTTTAAACCAGAATTTTCACAATTATAGTTCTTAATTAGTGCTTTTACAAAATAAACCATATCTTAAAATGATAAATTCTGCAGGCTCTATTTCATCATATCTGAATAACTCTTGAACTTTGCTATCATCTTCAATGAAAAAATTAGTGGCTAAGGTTGACCATTTTTCAATTAACGTTAACAAAATGACCATTATGAATCAAACTGTACTCATATTTTTCAACTGTACTTCAGTGTCTTTGCTCACTGTTACACATTATGTGGAGTTTTTTATTCATACTTACAAGTAATAATATGCAGTAAAATAAACTAGCTAGTACATGAAAGTATACAGTATATTCCAAAGTTGCTATAAAATTAATTATTGTTATTAATATAGTAACCCCAAAAATCTATATGGTCCATAATAAAACATACATATACCAAAATCAGAAGTTGTGGAAAACATTATACATGCAGATAATGAGGGAACCTGTAAATTCTAATTTGTCCTTTATAATTCATGTTTCCTTCAGCCCCTAAATCTACTGATGAAAAATGTACCTTGTTTACCAAAGAAGACTGCAAGAAATGTGGTAAACAATAAAAAACCATACATTTCTCATTTTTTATACAGATATATATACACAGAGTATGTGTTGTCTTCTGTAGCATTAAGTAGAATTTCTACCCTAACATATGACAAGTGAGAGCAGTGTTCTCTTTCTTAACGTTATAAGAACTGTGTTTATACATCATACCAAAGTGTAAAAAAGAAGCAAAAATAAAAACAAATATGCAACACAAATATTCCATTGACATGCTGTGGGTTATTTACAGTATCTTAAAAATGTACTTGATTAATATAAATAAATTGACATAATTTCACTACAAAAAGGAAGTCAACATTTTGGCACTGCAAAGTTAAAATATAAAAAAAATCCAAAGTAAACATGACATCATGCTTTTATAAAAGTACAACATTTACATGTCAATATTTTTCACTTACTTGATTTTATTTTGCCTGTCATGAGTATGTATTCACATTGAATCAATTTAAACTTTTTAATAAGATGAAATTTCCAATAACACTTCTTCATACAGACTTTGTACAATAAATCATGGGTTTCGTGTAGCTAAGCTCATCTCGTCTTCTTTAGAAATGCCTGACTGACAAGATAAAACACAAACCTCTCTTTTTCAGGTATTCAGCAACTAAGGCAGCAATATGGATAAAGCAGTGGGCTTCCTGAAAATAAAAAAACAATGAAATGTTATATCTCAGGGTCAAAGTGTGTCTCAAGAAATTACTTGAGAGAATGATTTGATACTGGTAATACTGTAGAAACTAATACTTAAACATGACAATGTACAGGACATACACATGTATTCACATTGCAAAAAAAAAATAAATAAATAAATAAATAAATAAAACTGTAGTTCAGGTTTACAATTCATCACAACACACAAGTAAGAGTAAACAAGCTCATTCAGGGAATTTATGACCCCCACTTAAGGTCAGAAGTTTATCTGAGATATTATTCAGAAGCAATTTGCAACAACATACAAGTTTGTGACCTTGACATTTTAACCTTTCACCTCAAAATCAATCAGAATCATGTTTGAGTTATAGAGAGTATTAAAATGAATTTAGAAAAAAAATTTACACAACATATGAAGGCCTTTGAACATTTTGACCTCACATACCACCTAGAAACGATTTTATGCAATATATGAATTTCTGACCTTGACCATTTGACCTCAAAAACAATAGGGATCTTCTTCAAGCTATGAGCAGATTTAATATTAAATTTCATTGCAAAAAAGGAAAAGACTATTAGAGATATCAATTTCAGTATAATACACAAAATGATGAATGGAGAGAAAGGATGGATAGATCCAAACTTTTAGAGGAAAAAGGGAAGACAAATTCTGTTCACTGAAAAAATATCCTAGTTAGTCTCCCTTACCTCTGAGTAGTTGCAGTTTTTACAATGGATTTTAGCCATAGACTCTAGCCAGGTCTTCCTAAGCTCTGGCGTGGTGGCGTAGGACTTGGCAAGGCTGTACTGAAGGTCAATCAACATCTCAGGGTCATTCTCATGTTCCTTCATTTGAGCTGTTGCCATGAGAACCGTCCGGATCCGCTTCGTTAAATCTTTAACTTCTAATGGGAATCCACTTTTCTGTATTAAATAAGTTTTACACACATATAAATTATGAATATCAAAATGCTGCAACTAAATAGCATCAGAAGAGAGTTTACATCAATGATTTTTTTTAACCTAAATTTGATCACCAGAAATATTAAGAAATGGAAGACAGAAATATAATTTTTAGAATGGTAAGCTAAATCTGGAAATCAGAAGGTGTTCATAACTACAACAGATAGAAGGGTGTAGATGTGCAATAAATGTCTTCTACCATAGATCTAGCTATAACCTGCTGTGTAATTAGTGTGCCAAATATTGAGTTATTTAACAAGATAGTGACTAGGTAACAATGTGCTCATAGGAATCTCTGGGTCTGTGTTCTTATATCACTTCCTACTCGGACAGGTACAATATCACTTAATAATTACAGACATTGTGAAAAACATGAACATTGATAAATACAAAGTTTAATGAGAGCTCCTTCAAAATTTTCCTATAAAGCTTAAATCTAAAATTACCAGTAGATTTAAAAATGCTAAATTTGATTTGTTTGCTCTGCTCTGTGTTACTTAATTTTAATGTATGTAATAGTAGTACATGTATAACTTAGAGGCAAACAATGGACAAGTTTGGACCAACAATTGCAAAAACAAATGATGCAGACTTGACTTACACACAGCAATTACTAATGAAGATTGCACAACAAACATTACTGGAGCACAGATATATACCAGTACTTATGTTTCCCTTCCTATAAAACTGACATTGTCTAGCATGTAATGCTGCAGCACATATGCATGTATACCACTAGTATATTTGTACCTCTAGCCAAACTGACAAAGACTCTAGCACATACTTCTGCAACACAAATTGTAAACATTTTTCTTGTCAAGCTTAAGGTGTGATTAAGAATGTGACAGTAATACTATACATCAGATCTGAGAAAATGAAGACTGTTGAGATATGGAAAAGGTTTGTGCACAGAATTGGTAGTTAAAATAGTCAATTTATATCACACTACTTTGCAGAGAAAATGTCTTTTAATATTAAATCAACCTATTAAAAATGAAAAGTATAATAATTATGCAATAAGGTTTTTGTAATGCAAAGTGTGAATGATTTACATTAATTCTCAAAACTGAATTTTTCATAAATTACCATTTTAGTTGATAATAAATCTAGATTTTAAAAAAATGGTTATAAATAGCATTAGTTTGCAGCTAATTGTTAGTATACAGTACACTGCCACAGTGCCCTAGAATAAGTTGTCAGCAGACATGGTCTAGGACAAACACCATTACCTCTTTATTGCCCTTTCTGCCTCTTTTGCCATCACCCTGGTAAAAATGAATCATGCTTCTGTATGCTTTAAAATTGTAAATTAGTAATAATCTTGAAAGAATTAATGTCTATACAAAATGGGAAAGAATGTGTACTTGATAGTGAGTACAGCTTTGTACAAAAGTAAGCAAGGAAGCCATGCATCCTGGACATAGGCACCAATAAATTTTAAAATGATTACTAGCAGTGTTAAATTTCACCACAATGATGCATATTCAAACAATCCTGTTTATTGTATTATGATCTTTTTAAACTCCCAGCCTACATTTCATAATAGTGCAAAATAAAGCTTAGCGAGTGTCCTTGGATCCTTCTGGTCATGTACCAATGAATGAATTTGTATTTCAAAAATGAATGTATGGAAATAAAGTGATGATTTTAAAGTCTTATGACTGCATTGTTTCATAGTCACTGTTATATAATAGATGGTGGATACAACATTCAGACAACGACAAAAAGGTTATGAGGATAGCAATAATGCACAATAATAAGCTAATTCTGAGCTCTTTGCACAAATTTTTTATACTAGCACATAAAGTATTGCAGAATTTCAGTAATATAAGTTAAGTATTAAGTAGGGAGAAACACATACATTTGTGGGATGTCACATTCTAACAAAGGTGTATCTTGTGTAATATGTTTAAATTATGCATCTGGGTGAATGAGTACACCAATATACCAAATACAAATCTCATTGTAATGTTTGGGCAAGCATGTCATACCCTTCTCTCTGCACAGAGGCCATTATAGGCCGAGTCCTTCAGAATTACCCGAGTCTGCAGAGTATGAGATAAGCAACAACATCAAAATTCAGTATATGCATACAGATGTAAAAAATAATGGACAAAATTTCAATGTGTTACCAATATACATCATTAACATGAAATTAATAAGAAATTTCATACAAAAATACTGAACTTGCAAAGATAGAATTTCCCAAAGTGAATACTGAGACATGATATTGAAAATTTGTCCTCTGTTTTTTTTTCAAGATAAATTTATTTTCAAAATACAGCTATAGAAAATCCCTGATCTCCATAGTCCTGTAAAAAGAGTTCCTTACCACTTGCAGCAAGTTTATGTAAAATAGCGCAAGACTGTAGCAGAGGCATTCCAGAGTCAATATATACTTATAAAGAAGATAAGTACACCAAGAGATTTTACAGGGTTACCTCAGTGTGGTGCCTATAGACTCCCCCGACCAGACTAGCAAACGGACTTAAAGGCTTTAATCAAAGAAACAGTAAGGCTTAACTCCTTGTTATCCACACATTATTAGTTATCAATCTTTTCAATTAATTCTTAAAGAAAATCAATCATCCCTAACCTTCATGATTAGATCACACCATAAAAAATTCTATCGAAAACACACACTACACTCTACTACAAAGCAAATGATTCAGCAACTACCAAACTGACAAACATACTTTGAGTTTACATACATGGTTTTCATCAACCATGATCATCTACAAGCAAGAAATCACTTTCTTTGATAATAATAAAATAATTCTTAATCACTGAACTCAGACTCTGGCATAACTGAATTCAAAAATATGAGAACATATGTAAAATTACATTTAACTAGTTTAATCATTACAGCAATCTGAGCTCAATGGTAATAGAATTGGATAAGTTACCTGCATTGCCTTGTCACTAGCAGCATAGCTGTTGATCATAGCCAGACTGTCCGTGAATCGGGAGTTACTGAGTTCTACTACACCACCGATCAGCTGGGATACTGAGATTATCACCTAGAGCAAAAGAAACTGTAACCTGATGGGCAATTCATTTCATCGACCAAAACTGTAAATACATGTATGACTGAGAAATAGATCCATGTGTAAATTTTCTAGCTATCCTTATACTTTGGTAATATTCAGTAAATCTCATGATTTAATCAGTGTCTGTGATAACTATTACACACCTGTAGATGGACTCTGGTAAAATTCTTTTTCTTGGTGAATTCAAAGTTGTTTCTCATCAGCAGATAAAGTAGAGCACAGGCTTCTTTCCTTGTGGATTGTAGCTTAGAGTTACAGCACCTCAAAATCTACAAAAAAAGTATTCTTCTGAAATCTTGCATACCACTAAATCTCAATTATCACTACACCTACATGTTTTTCTTTTCATCAATACATTAGTTTTGTAAAAAATTCAATCAACAAACCTCATAGCAAAGTTCTCCACAGAGGGAAGCATTTCCTTTGAATAAAACTGGTTGAAACTGTAATGAACAAATAAATTTGAGTCCTAAAGTCTATTTGGAAAGTGATAAACTATTAAATCAGCACCTCAACATTTTTTGTCAAGTCCATGAAATTATCCTATCTCATTTATTACCTCTATAAAAGCAGAACTTTGTTTCATTGACCTGAAAGTGTCCTTAACCTGAGATATTTTATCTCAAACTCGATGGGGCTGAGAAAAAACGCAAGATATCAGAGGATTCAAGATTTGGAAGTTAAAATAGAGAGGTTGGGACTTCAACATATCCATTGTATTCAAGACATACAATGTAGATGTTCAAGATATCAAAGTGTATTAGTAAAAGGAAAAAAAGATCACCTTTTTAATAAAGGACCTCCAGGAAGCAAAGACATGTTTCTGTAGAGATTCAGACTGACTGGTCTGTAGGAAGTTAAGATACAAGCTGAACACCTTCCTCATCAGACTGTTGTCCCCATCTTTGTGTTCCAAGTTACGCTGCAATCACAAAATAAAGAAAACTTACTTCAAAATCATTTCAATGTTCTGTAAAAACATTTACTATGATCATGAATAAAATGAAACATTCTTCTAATGAAATCTTAATATTTTACCAGGAGTTTAAGATAAACCTCTTTAAATTAACTATATACACATACATTAAATTAACAATATGATGGAGCAGTTCTGGCTGTGTCTGGAGATCTGCCATACCTGCTACAAGATTTTACAGTATATAGAAGTGCAGAGAGCCATTTAGAACTAGTTCCACCTTAAATGTCTGTGTGTATAAGGTTAAGACATCTAACACGACCAGTCCCACTTCTGTAGACATATTAGCTTCCTGTAATGCCTTCATCACAGCATTGCCTTCTGATGGGGTGGATGCTAAAATAATTACAGAAGGAGGTGTCTTACCGCAGTGACAATTGTTTAGGAAAAAAATAATTCTAGGTCCTTTTAATAAACCTAACAACTTGGCTGAAACTTTTTAAACTACAGCAAAATGTTGTCTTATTCCTGTTAACCAAGTTTATATATACATGTACCGGTATATAACCATCACATATTCAAAACTATGGTTTTTATGAGGCTAAAGATGAAATCAACAGTAAAAGACAGACTGACCATGCCCTGGTTCTCCCATGCCCTCATACTGACTGTGTGACCGAGGGGTCAAACTAGGAACAGATCTTCTATTCATTGGCATTGTAGAGGCTTTTGTACTGTCCCCTATCACACTATAAAATTAAATGTAATTCCATTAGTGTCTCAGCCAGCATGTACGATGTATTGCATTACATGTATCTCTTTAACAGTCAACATCATAAAATATCATAAACTTAAAGATAAATGCATAGAGAACAGGATGAAAATGTAACTCTTTTGTTAGCCTGGGCTGCAGTCAAGATCATAGCAGTACATAGCTTTATGTAGTGCTACGATCTTGAACAATATGCTAGCCTAGCCATTACAAGCAGTAATTTATACACTGTGTTCAATATGACGTAGATATCTAAGTTAGCAGCTAGGCTAGCTGCTATGATCTTAAATGCAGCCCTTCTTACCACCACCCCTTTCTCCCCTTCCACTCAAAAGAATTTCAATCATGAACAAAATGTACATATATATAAATAAATTAATAATTAGTAACTTAAAAGATACTGGAATCATAGTAACTCAAATGTTCGAATACTCTACAGACAGATAGTTTATCAAAGTAAAACACAAGATGCACACAAACTAGAGATTTCGTATTATATACAAATTTTTTTTCAATTTTTACTGAAAAGACACTTAGTAAAAATTCAACACACATACCTTAAGTCAACAATTTTCTTTCTTCCCTGGTATTGGAAATTCTTTAAGCACACCCTTTAATAAATCACGAAATTACTGAAAGCAAGTTTCCCTTGTCTTGCAAATGTCACTATCTATAGCATTTAACAAAAATAAGATTTTGATTTAAATTTCTTATGAATAGAATTAACAATGTAAATTAACTTACTCTAGTATGCTAAAGAAATCAATGATATCAAACTCTGAAGAGTTATGAAACCAACCAAGAAGGATATCTGAAATGAACGAGTTCAGTAATGAAAATGCATAATGCCAAAGCATCACCCTCCATTACAAACAGTAACGTTCCTAACATCAAAGGGACATAAGAAGTAATGCAATACTCTCAGAATATCTTTAAAGGGACATAAACACAGATTTGAAGTTAATATTTTCTCAAATTTTCTGTATAATATTATGACTTATGTGTTCCTATAGCATTTCACATGGAAATAGAGTTTAACAAATTGAACACACCCCTTGAAACGTAAACATTAACAATAACAAACCTCTTGCCCTATTTCAAAACAGTTTACGTTCCACCGGTGTGTTCAATTTGTTAAACTCTGCACACATCACTGTTGCTTTCTCACATTTCTACTCTGAATTTTCTGGATTATATCTTTATTTTTTTTCATTTATATACAACAAAATTTCTACTTTTCTTAATATTAAGGATAAGTTTACTTTGTGAAAGTGCAAAGATGTGTCAATCAAATTCGTAGTTTCAATAATTTCCATTTTTATGAGCATTTAATGTGAAATGCAATAGTATACACTTATTTCATGACTATGAGGGGAACAGTCATACTGTTCTCCCGAGGTAATGGGGAAGACCTGGGAAACTGTTGCCCGAGGCCAAAGGCTGAGGGCAACAGTTTCCCAGGTCTTCCCCATTATCGAGGGACAACAGTTTGACTGTTTCCTGAGTTGTCATGAAATAAGTGTTTTATTACCTAACCCGCTATATAATTTCTTGAAATAATGATATAGACACATCGACAAAAGTTTGCATTATTTCTTAGTGTTATCATGTCCTAGTAAATATTGACGTATACATGTATTGTTTAGTAAAAAACATAAGATGACTTGTAGGTTTGAATATAACACACCGAGTCGGACGTTTTCAAAGGCAAAGATCAATAGTGAGTGAAAGGGGCCTACATTTTTCCAAAATTTCCCTCAGAAAATGTGTTCTTGGCCTCTTCTTTCAAATGATATTAAATTGAATATATATTTATATGGGTATTAGGATTACTCTTCAAATGATAATTTCAAATTTATTGCCATGAAAATGCTTCAATTTATACATAATTCAATATTATAGCTGTAAAGTACAGGAAACTAATTATGATGTCATAATGGATTAGTTCAGCCATGCAACAGTTCATTCTGTGACCGGGTAAACAGTTTTGACTGTTTCATGATGTGCAAAAAACATTAAAATGAATCAGGAAACAGTTCAAAATGCTTAATTATAATTTATATAGTAGGTTAGGTAATAATAACATATTAGTCATGATATTATACAAACAATTTGAGAAAATATTAACTTCAAATCTGTGTCTATGTCCCTTTAAAGATATTCTAAGAGTATTGCATTACTTCTTATTTTGTATCAGAATACTAAACAAAAATTGTGACTGATGGTAGTATAAATAATCTGTTATAAGTTTCCTGTCTTGATTATCACCTTCTGGCAGGTACTTGATGACATGGAGGAAGCACAGTAACAAGTCTTTGACCTCCATAATGTCCAGTTTCTGGTACTTCATCAGGATCTGTGAGGGTTTGGGGGCTCCTGATACGTCAGAGGCTGAGTCCTTGATGTTCTGGTTGGAGGATACCCTAAAACAGATAAATATGAATTTAAAAATAAATAAAACAGTGTACTTTTCAATGGAGAATATTTCTAGAAGCAGAAAATAAACTACATGTATAACTATGTGATAAAAACACACACCACACAGCAATCTATTAACATACAAGTTCAAATCTGTCCCAATCCAAAATGATATATTTTCCTTCATCATTTTATAGCTGTTGAACAAATAAACATGTAGAGATATACAGTACAAAATACAGGAAGATTCTGCTATATAAAGAAGTCTATAATTTAGATATATTTTACATGCTCTTTAAATAATGAACATCCCTTTAGAAATTTGTAAACATTGAGAAAGAGTTTGGTGAGTTTTTTTTATTTATGCTTAATTTGTAAAGAAATACTGTGTATGATTCCATTATAATTGATGGAAGAGGTACTTTAAACATATAGGAATTTGATGGGAACCTTGTAATTAAATGTGAACAAAAGCCATTATATTACAGATGTAGATATCCATTAACAGTATTTAAAGGTCTCACAGCAAACTTGAAGACCCCAAGACCTCCAAAAAGTTCCACCTCTTAATATTTAGTACAGGTAGTAATATAAGTAATTTTCATAACAAGCTATAATTAAGAAATCTCATTTTTTTAGTTTCACCTTGTCACATTCCCATGGGATTTTTTCCTTAAGGAAAATCTGTAAATAACTTTCAAGATTAAGTAGTCCTTTAGAAAATGAATCAGAAATTTTGCTAAAATTCACATATTTACCTACATTAATAAAATAAGACCTATAGAAGTAAAATTTCTTCATAATTCCAAACTGATTATAATTGCTGGGATTAATAAATGTATATACACAATTCTATCAAAAGGAACCCACCTCCTATGAACTTTCTCAGGGGTTTTGCCTTCAGTTTTATCAACAGAAGAAGTACTGTTTGTTCGGGACAGGGAACCAGCTGATCCATTCATCATCTGGGCTTTCATTTCCGACAGGCTCTGTAGAGGTGCACCTAAAAATGTTGAAGGAGGCCATAGATTCAACTTGTGGAAATTAAAACTATACAGCATTTAGAAGGATATCTGTAAACAATGCAAACACAAACGATAAACTGGCGTGTCTATACCATACAATGATACTGATGGCATTTTTTCTTTCTCTGAATAAAACACTTTTTAAAGACATATGTAGAAAAATCATGTAAGTACCATGTCCAGCTATCATAGCAAACACTTTAGACTCCCTCTGTGTTGTGGGAGCATCAAATGTTACAGACTTCTGAGGCATCTGAGGGGTTCTGGGTCTGCTTTCTTGTTTGACAGACTGAACATCCCCATTCACAACTATGGTAGGGGCCTGTGGAGGGGGTGGGGCAGCTGGGTCATCCACCAGGTGGTGTTTGTGGTCCATCAATATGGATATTAGAGGTAGGTACAGAGCAGCAATCCTCCCTTGTAGTGTCTATAAAATTTACAAATTCAGTGTCAATCATAACCAATGCTTAACGATGTTTAATGAAAGACTGCAACATGATTAAATTAATACCAATTGAAATTGTTCATTTTCTGTGCAGGATATGTTTTCTTAAGATTGCTTCTGTATAAAATCAAATTTCTTTAAAAATTTGGTTTCTTATCTTCCCTTATAAATTGAAAAATACAAACCCATGTACCAATCAATCAATTAAATTACAAAGATTCAAAGAAATTTTGATGTTGTCACCTTGGATGTATATCTGTCATCAAAGGAATGTTTGGCAATCTGATTCCTTAGTAAGTGGATGGCATGCCTTCGGACTTCCTTTGGCTCATTCATACACATCTTAACTTCCTGTATAAGTAGTCCTACCAGATAATGGTGCTTTCGGAACTCCTCTGACAGTGTGTAGTCACATTTCAGATCTGTAAAATATAATTGTTTTTATTTAAACAATAAACATAATAATCACTGCTAAGCATTACAAGGGGTAATCATAAAGTTTGTGGACAGGCACGATAAATTGAAAAGGGGGACCAGCCTTTTAGTGAACATTTTTCATAGTAAAAGACTATATTTGGGGAAAAAGCGAGAGGGAAGGAGGGGACTCTCAATAAGGATACGTGCGTGCATGGGTGAATTAATGTTCTAGTTGTCAAAATAAAAATTGTCATAATCGTTGAAAACTTCATGGGAATTTTATTGTGCTAGTCCACAAACTTTTTGATCACCCCTTGTCATTGTTATAAATTCAAAATGTCATATGCTACACAATACACGCTACACATGGCTGAATAGACTTATTTTTTATTTAATTAAAAGAATTAGTCTGAAAATATGCTTATACAATGTTATAGTAAAGCAGAACTTGCAATAAACATGTATTGTTTAGGCTGAAATCAAAAAACATCTCTTAACAAACAAAAATATTTATTTCTACTATGAAATCATTTATGTTTTATGGTGATCAATAATTCTACTCATATACCATCAGCATTAAAACACACTTTAATATCTCTTGTTAATAACTTTTCTTTTCATTTAACCTTGAATAAAAAAGGAATTCTAAAATTTCTCAAAGCAAAATTTATATACAGTCTTTGAGATAAATTATAAAGATGCAAAAAGGTGTTCTTATTTTAGTATAAATTACAACTCAGGGGAATCAGAATTATCTTAAAGATTCAGTCACCAGAAATGTAAATAATTTCACAGCATTTGAAGTCCTTTCTGATTAATTCTGAAATTAAGAAAGGAATTATTTGTTAGTTTGATTGATACATCTGCGTAAAATCAGACTTGATTAAAAAAATTGTTCACGATGTTAGATGACTTTGTTTTCATCAGTTTAACTATACATGTACTGTGAGTGAGTATGGCTAATATATATGTTTAGCTAGTATACCTTGATTTTAAAAATACTTTTTTATTTATTAAAGCTTAGATAAAATAAACCTCTCAAACAAGACAGGTTAAAAATCTTGTCATAATAAGCTTGTAAAAGTTACTGAAGCAGCATGCTGTTAATTTCAGTATATCTGCCGCATCTATCACAAAATACTCATTTCGCCATAATTTTACATTTCTTCCTTATCAATTGATACCTTAAATTTGAAGAAATATTCAAGCTAAGCTTTAGATTTTTTTCCATTTGTGTACCAAAAAAGCTATTTACATATTTACAAAGTGTACAAGAACTTACCATGTAGATCTAGGAGAAATTTAGAGTGTACATTTATATATTCATATATTGTAATTTTAAATATCCTGCCCCTGATTTCCTTACACATCTTCAACTTAAATGTAGAGCAACATAACCAACTAATACCTTGTAAAGATTTCAATTACATACTTCTGGTTAAACACATTAACATGAAACACAAACACCACAGATATAAATTAGTAATTTTAAATGTGGATGAATATTCTTTTCATTGCAGAAAACTTACAAAAATGCCCTAAAGAAAGTAGAAAAAAAGAAAAAGCAATTCTATAGTAACTAAAATACATGTGCAACCAAACCATGTAAACTTTGGCTGGAACTGAATTGTTAGTAGGATACAGTCAGAGGTTTTTGTTCTAAACATGTCTAGAGTATCTTCTCAACTATGCATTCAATCTTCTTTCACTTTAAAGGTTTCAGGTTTTTCAATGTTATATAGACAACATGTAAACTGAAAGTCAAAGATTCTAGACACAAGGCATTGCAACATGAACACCAAAAGCAACAAAAGCTATTGTTTTAGAGCAGCCATTGATTGGGGGAATTCTCCATTATTTCTTAAAGACCTGCATTCTAAATGAAATTGTGTAAGTTACCTTCTAATTTGATCTCTGTAGCAGCATGGAAAAGAAGGTCACAATTTTTTTTTTGAGACTTAGTCAATTTACATAGTTTTCAAAATATAAATATTCCACACAAGATTATAATGTTAATACAAATATAGTAAATCACACACAAAGCAATTTTCTTCTCAAACATCAACTGAACAAAAGTTCAATGACACACAAAATTATTTTGAAATCAGATCTTTTTAACATTCCAAACAAATTTAACAAATGAACTGCACACATTTATAGTATCCTTTACACTGTACACTCAGTGTAAGAGTACTCACCTTTGAAGGATTTGATCATGCCTTTCCTCATGATTGGAAGACAGAGGGGGATATAGTGCTCATGTGAACAAACCTCACATAAAAACTCAAATTTCAGATCATACAATGACTGAAACCAAAACAAACATTGAATTAATTCAACAACTTTAAATACCGGTATTGATTTCCTCAAAAAGAAAATTTACTTCAATATCTTACCTATAATACAATTTTACTTTTGGGCAGTTTAACACATGCAGAAACAAAATACTGTATAAGCAGAATTTTTAGCGAGGATTCAATATTGGCATTATTAGCGAAGGGTTCATGAGAATGCTAAAATCGAACATTGCTAACAATTTATTCTGTATCAGTTGTTATAGATATCTCTCTCGGCATTATAAAATCACTAAAATTACAATGTTTTTCATGTTCTACTGAATCAATTACTTGATTCTGGGCCAGGCCATTTTGTTTTTTACTATTATCAAACTTTCATCAAAATCAAATTTAGCATGACAAACCTTGGAATCTCCTGGTCCAAACTGTTCAATATAGGCTGCAATATTCTTAAACACAAATCCTCTATCCATCAATGTAAAACAACTCTACAAAAAGATCAACAAGAAAATCATAGGCTAAAAAAAAAATCATCTTACACTTCAAGAAAATCATCTTATACTACAGGAAAGTTATACTGCAGAAATAAAGTGAGAAAACAAGAAGTCTGTGAGCGATATGCTCACTAATAATACCCCCCGCTGTGATGTGAATATACACTCTCATGTTGACATCGAATTATACAAAAATGAATCCTACCATTTGGCATGCCTAAACAAAGATTGTGCTAAAATTTCAGCAGTTGCTGAGAAAACTGTGACAGAAATTCGGTATGGACAGACGCACGGATAAACAGGAAGTTGTCATTGGATTCAAAAACAAATGAATCCCACTACCGTATTTGGCCGAATATAATACACATTGGTGTAAAATACGCACCCCCCTTTTTGAGCCTGAAACTGGGGGAAAAAATGCAGTTCAGTTGTATTATACGCAGCAGCAAATTTTACCAAGCGGTGTTCTGAACTTTTGAAAATCGCAGTAATTTGCTATGAAAATCAGCGCGGAGATAAAGTGCTGAAAATTTACAGAACACAATATTTTATTCAAATGCGTTTTTATTTCTTAATCTTGACTTTCCATATCGCGGCAATCTGGAGGAAATTATTTAATTTAACAAAGCACGAGATAATGTTGCATTAAAGTATTAAAAGAGTTTATTATTATTATTTTTTTTAGCATACCGTGATATTGAAATTGTACATCGCCGTATTCTAACTATTCTTCGTGGAAATAATTTTAGTTCAACAAAGCACGAGTTATTGTTGCAAGTTTAACAGTTGTCATATTTATTTTTAGTTTAAGGTAATCATCGTGACATGTTGAAAATTATGTAAATTTAACAGGGCAAGCGATATTGCAACATCAAAGTATTCATAGACTATGATTTTCTTCTTTTGAACTTGAAATTAATTTATTAAATAAATAGCTGATGTTATAAAAATAAAATCAAAATTTAACAAGCGTGCAAAGTGTAGTTATCAACACACCTCCAAAGCTGTGAAAAATGATGTACAAAGGTGGGATATATGTCTTCATACATCGAGGTTATCTTCGTGGATATCTTATTTTCTACAGAGCACGAGTAAATGATAACACCTTAGTTTCAACATACTTCATATTTCCTTTTTTAACTCTCAATCATTTTAACACGAGGATAAAGTAAAATTACATTTAACAAGCGTTTAACTGTTTAATGTGTCGTAATAAACACAGGCTTATACATACGAAAGATCATAAACCAACCCCCGATTTTTAACAAAGAAAATAATCAAAGCAATTAATAAGGGCAGTAAATAATCAGTGCTCTAACTGTAAAAACAATGCTTTGGAGTCGGTAAACAATTTAATTGCCTTGAGGGGTGTTGAGGGGTAATTATCAAGTGACAAGAGCACGTGTTCACAACATTGGCTTCCATTCATTGGGACATATAGAGGGGTGTTTATGTTAAAATGAATTTTCAGTGGGTTATTTAAAACCTAAAATACATTTTATTTTATTGTATTTCATTAAAAAAAATGACTTATTACTTTTTTGACCGAGTATCTGACTGATTAGGTACATGTGTACTATGGTTACGGAAGCACGTGGGAAAGGATGTGTGAACATCTATAAATAACATCGTTAATGGCGGCCTACATGGAGACGATGAACATGCAGCTCAAATTAATTTTAACTTGCTTTTAAATTTAATTTAACTATCAAAAGGTTATAAATGTAACATTTTTAACAAGCCTACATTCCAACAATAACTTTCCGAAGTTTTAAATACGGCAATAAACAGCAAGAAATTGCATAAGTCTCTAGGTAATACTACGGTATGTGCGTATGATAGCCATGTTTCATATGAAAGAAAAACCTATCAAAATCCCATTGTGGTGTAAAATACGCACCCCTTTCTCACAGAAAATAATTTGTGGAAAAAAGTGCGTATTATATTCAGCCAAATACGGTATATGGCATACCTAAACAAAGATTGTAGTACTACTAAAATTTTGAGCATCTGCGCTGAGTACTTGCTAAGAAAACTGCAACGGAAATTTGGTACATACAGATGAATGGATAAACATGAAGTTTAGCTTTTAATCAAAATGGTGGGATTCATTTTTGTTTGAATCCAATATCTGGATTCAAACAAAAATGAATCCCAAGATTTGGCATGCCTAAACAAAGAATGTGCTAAAATTTCAAGCATCTGTGCTGAGTAGTTGCCGAGAAAACTGCGACGAAGAAATGTTTCAGACAGACACACGGACGTACAGACACATGGACACACAGACGGAAACAGAAAGACAGACAGACACACAAGGGTAAAACAGTATACCCCCCTCTCCTTCGGAGTGAGGGTATAATAATACATGAAAATTTCATCTATACATCTGACTTAAAGATAAATGTACAAACAGTTTAATTATAAACAGTGATACTTTGACCATTCTGGATTATTTTACCTTCACAAACTTAGCTAAACTTTGATTAGCCATCTTTGTCTCTCGTGGCATTTCTCTTTGTTTCTGGATGATATTTGGAGTCAGTGTTTGAAGCAGGTTTTGTATTCTGAACTGATAATCTGATGTAAATCTCTCATTCCTGGGCATCTGTAAGATACACATGTAATACAAAATCATCTTCATTAAAGACATTCTTTCAGGAAAGTACATTGATTTAAAAATCTGTTTTCCTTTGCAGGATCTGAACATAAATCTCTTTGACAAACTGTACAAAATAGTTGAAAATGTACAGTGTATTTGTAAGCAAAAAAACTGTGGCATGACTAAAATTTATCCATACAGAATATAGAAAATGATTCTATCTGTGCCTATATATGAGGTTCCTGCCTTGATTCTGTCTGTGCTTATGAGGTTTCTACCTTGATTTTGTCTGTGACTATGAAGTTCCTACCTTAATTCTGTCTTTACCTATGAGGTTCCTACCTTCATTCTGTCTGTGCCTATGAGATCCCTACCTTGATTCTGTCCTTGCCTATGATGTTCCTACCTAATTCTATCCATGCTAATCTGGTTCCTACCTTGATTCTGTCCATGCCTATGAGGTTCCCACCTTGATTCTGTCTGTGCTTATGAGATTTCTACCTTGGTTCTGTATGTGCCTATGAGGTTCATACCTTGATTCTGTCTGTACCTATGAGATTTCTACCTTGATTCTGTCTGTGCTTATGAGATTTCTACCTTGATTCTGTCTGTGCTTATGAGATTTCTACCTTGATTCTGTCTGTGCCTATGAGATTCCTACCTTGATTCTTTCTTAGCCTATGAGATTTCTACCTTGATTCTGTCTGTGCTTATGAGATTTCTACCTTGATTCTGTCTGTGCTTATGAGATTCCTACCTTGATTCTGTCTGTGCCTATGAGATTCCTACCTTGATTCTGTCTGTGCCTATGAGATTTCTACCTTGATTCTGTCTGTGCTTATGAGATTTCTACCTTGATTCTGTCTGTGCCTATGAGGTAAAGAGCCATGCTCTTGATGAGGATCTCAAAGAAAAACCAGGAATACTTGAGGAACTTGCAGACCACTACATTGTCAGCATTGGCTGGTCGGAGGATAGTGGTCAGGTTTTTGGCAAGCTCCTCATGCACAGTGTGGACATTTTGACTGCCTTTAGGAATTGGGTCAGGGTTGAACACATACTGAAAGAAAATCATCTATTTAAATATGAAAAATCTCTCAACCTCTCTGGTCTTTGCAATTCATCATATAAGCAGTTAATTAATTTGTGAGTATTCATATTGTATTGGTTGAGTGAACAAACCTTGACATAACTTTTAAGAGCATCTTGTTTATCAGCTAGAGACACCTCTGTGACAATGTGGATTAAAACTCTGAAATAAAAACGTTACTTCAAGCATTCTAAAATTGTACATAAAATTGAGAACAAAAAAAAACATGGGAATAAGAGAAAATTTTACAAAATACAGATCAATTTGCTAAGAAGATTTTGTGCACTGTAATAATCAAATTTTTTTGAGTTGCTAGGAAGACTTGCATTATCTAGCTAGCTACAGCACCATTTAATTTCTTCCTCTGATGTGTGACTTTCATACAATTTATTACATTACATATGCGTACATACTTGACAGCATTGAGGGCCACATCGTCACTGATAGTCTTGACAAGGAGGGAAAACAGCTGATTTAACACGGTCGGCAAGAACTGGACATAGGTCAGTACATCAACAGCGTGAAGAGACTGGAAAAGTAAAGATTTCCCTTAAAACAGTCCCTGTGTAAATAAATTACCACTATCAGAATACAGTTCATTGTTTATGTTTAATACACCTTGAAACATCAGATTTTATGATTTATCAAATATTCCTAACATTATCATCAACATAATAGTATATTTCATTTCTTTAAATCATATTGCAGGTTTTCATATAAATGCATTTGGATTTTCATTCCTTGATTATAAGCTATACATGCCTGCATTAGGTATTTTCAAGCTTGAAATTTGGCCTAAAAACTTAAAGCAAGTAATTAAAATCCCCTTTACCTGTTAATTTTCCCTTCAAAATAAACCCCTCAAACACACAAACTGATGCTGATTTCTTTCTAGGATTGCTGTTTTGTGCTAATATCATATTTTAAAAGTGGAAATAATTTTACATTATTCTACTACCTATGCTGTATTTACACAAAAAAATACTGATTAAAAAATCCTAGAGTGCATCTGTTATACTGCAGTGATTGCCTGTGCTGAACAAAAGCCCACTAAGTAAAACACAATACAGAAACTTCACACATTTAAAAAAAAAAAAAAATCAATTTTCAATTTCCAAAACCTGTTTCTGGAAAATGGCTTTAAAATGGCTATGTTTATTACTTTTTTTTTAACTCAGATAAATGAAATATATAACATTTACATGTATATGTAATCACTTGCACATTGTATATATATGTAATTGGCAATGTACAAAAATTATTTTATTAACAGGAAATGTAGAGTTTATCATTGACGGGTCATTCCAAAATGCACTTTTACTCTATGTTTATAGGTGTTAACAAATGGATTTGCTTGCATTCATTATTCAGGTTTTAGATAAAGTGGGAGGTGAAACCTGTAAGAAATGTTACCTTGACTGAATTTGATAGAAAGGTTTTCTCCAAATCCATGGTAGGCTTGTCAAGCTGTTATATGACATATCATAACCAACAGGATCATTAATAAAATAAATCTACTACATGTATATCAAAATAACAAAAGCCATTTCCAATTATATCAAACTACATGTATATTATAACCCCTATAATTTACGAATATGTATATTTTTACTTAAGTAGATCATGGTGATTTTGTGAAATAAAGCAACAGTTAGCAATTCCAGGTGTGTGCGTGTGGACGAGGAGGGGGGGGGGGGGGGGTCTATTTGACCTTGAAGTCTGACTCTGACCAGACACAAAGCACTCATAACTATCTTAATTAACAAAATAAAATGACTCTAACTTGGGTCAAAAAAATTAATCTTTAGTTTTTCATGCCAAAATTTTCAAAATTCAATGCAACAAACAGGCTCCTTTTTTGTGAAGTGAGGCATCTCTTCCTTTTTTTTCTTATCATGCAGTCAACAAAATGATGATATCTATTGCTTCTTACTTTATTGTACTCTTATTTGTCTTATATTAGATATATTATGTACTCAGCTTTAAATAATGTTATTCCAAACATTTTTATAAGAAGTTAATTCATTAAAAAGCGTTTACGGTAAATAAGATAGATACAGTGGAACTTCGGTATCTCGAACACTAATATCTCCAATACCATGGATATGCTGAAGTGATTTGGAAGTCCCAACCACTTATTTTTTAAGTATTTTACCCTCGATATCTGGGATCATCAGATACATGTATCTCGAAGTTTTTCCTCAGTCCCATAGAGTTCAAGATAACAAGGTCTGACTGTATTGTGTATGTAATAAAAAATATCTTTCTAGCATTTTTTGATAAGGGCATAACTCAATCATCTTTTTTCAACTTTGAAAAATAGAAAATTGAGTTATTTCCCCTTTTAATATGTCAATAAAATTGATCAATGCGACTGTGTTCAACCTGATGTGGCTGTGCCTGAGAAACTAAAGAGTAATTTTTTTAGCTTTACATAGTTCAACAAAAGCCTTGGGCAGTGTTAATATTCAGACGGGCCAATATACCTTCCAATTTCAGTCTTTGTGGACATTGAAACTCACTGACCTTGAGAAAATTGTCTATTTGCAAAGCATGCAGATTTTAATAGGTTTTATCTCAAGATCTTAAAGAAAATGTTAAAATAGAAGTTACACATAAGTAGCAGTAGACAATTAAATTAACAATACCAACAGATAGGGCTACAAAATATGTAATACATCCAAACCAACATCATTACATAAAATCAATAATTTCAAATAGTCTAAAATTTCTTAAATGTTTTTAAAGTACAAATAAACTGAGACATATAATACTGAACCTACACAGAACAAAAACTTGAAATACATGTAACTGAATAGGATGCTTGATGCTTGCAATTGAGGGGTATATTCATATTAATCAGTTTACTCATTGTCTAAATACAGATTCTTTACAACTATATTGCATATAATAAAGTATGTACAAGTAGATTTTCATTTCAAAATCAAAAACTGGGCAATTTGGCTGATAGTAATAAGTTTCAATTTTTTTTTCCATCTGTATAAATCAATTCACTGTTAATGTTTGAAAACAAATTGACAGTGAGTGCATAATTCACAGAGATTCTATAATACGCAATAGATGATGTTTAAGTACATGTATATATGAAATGAACAACTGGTCAAAGTTAAATAGGTTATTTAAACTATATACTTGTACATGTATTATTAAATTGGTGTCTGTAATTCAGAATTATAAGACACATTAACATGCAACTTAGTTAAATTAAATACTGACCTTAATTTTATTTAAGCTATCCACATCTGTTCCAGGCATTAATGCATTTTCTATCTTTTGGCAGTGGTAAAAAAAGTTGTGTAAATGCTGATCCTTAACAAATAAAATAATCCATGATTAAGTTATACTTAAATGGTCTTGACACTCTTTCTCTATAATACTATAAAAATACCTAGTTATCAATACATATATACATATGTAATAAAATTCTACATATGCATATATTTGATATTCTTTACTGATGTCTGGTTAAAACTTTTTAAAACTGCATAATATTTGTACATTTCAAGAGCTCCCAAGAAAGGAAAAAAATAAAGTATAACTCATTAACTATGTACACGTATATAGCTAATTTACTGATGTAGCAAGTTTTTGCGGGTCCTTAGCAATATTCTTAACAATTCCTTGTGAAATTTTACGGTTATAATGATCTCTGATAAAACAAATTTACAGATATCATATAGCAAGTTTACTTTGTGTCCTGTAGATGTTAAAAATATCTAAATTCACACCTTTTACAACAAATTTTTAAGGTCTCAAAATTTTAGATATTGAACTGACACTATTTCTCTTAAGTATTTATATTTGAAAGTTTCTGAAACGCACAGAAAACTTTAATTCTCCATTCTAAACTTGACTGAACAAATTCGGTAGTCTTCAGAAGGAAAACATATGTACATTGCAAATTAGCAATACATTCTTTTATGAATTCCTTATGATATTACGAAATACAGATACAGCGAAGTAAATTCTCAGATCCCCAGGCTCTGGGGCCATAAAACTTACATGAGTTCACTTTTGATCTCAGTCTCACTTTTATAAAAGGAATTAATAGTGGAAAAGTGAGACTGAGATCAAAAGTGAGCTCATCTAAGTTTTATGGCCCCGGAGCCAGGACTTTGCTATAACTGAGGGTTTCTTTTTTTTCTCTACTTACCTTTGTGTACACGGTTGATTGTAGGTGGACCTTGACTTTAAAGATTGGCTTGCCATTATCCACCCATTTGATATCTGGTGCTGGAGTCTAAAAAAAAAACAACTAGAAATGATTCAGATATATATAATATATATGCCACCTGTGTGGTGAAATATTAAAAAGGATCAACTTTAAATTTAGATTGTCTGTAATGATCGTGAAAATACTAGTCATAGGCAAACATAATTTGAAGTTTGACCTCTATCAGACAGTTCAGACCTCAATATATTTAGGAGTAATTTACTCTAAAGATTTTACAGATTCTAAGTGGTCAATATCTTCCAATGTCCCATTTGACTCTTGACCTTTCACTCTGTGACCTCAAAATCTACAGGGGTCATCTACTCCTAAGGAGAACAAGTGTACCAAGTTTGACATCTGTCTAGCAGAGGGTTCTCAAAATATTGAGCAGGTCAATATCTTCTTATGTCCAGTTTGACCCTTGATCTTATTACCTCAAAACAAATATGGGTTATCTACTCCCTAGGGGAACCAATGTACAAAATTTTATACTTAATAACCTCTAAAGCTGACACAAGACGAATAGAACAGATATTAGAATAATTCATCACAGCCACTGAATAACAAATTCCCCAGAAAAATGCTGTTTGATATATTTGTGTATATAAGTACTTAATGTTTTCAAGGTTAGGCATTCATGTACAAGCATTCCCAGGATAAGTTCCCCTAAATCTAAAATCATCCAGACTATGGAAATAAGAAAATATCAATATCAAATAATTTTCAAAAATGATAATAGTGATAAATATTTGTGGTTCTGCAAGCAAAACATTGATACAAACTTTATAAAGAAGATAAATGATTCATTGAGACAACTAAGATCCAACAGATTCATAAAGAAGACCTACTGATCTATCTGGAGATCTGGCACAGAGGTAGTCTTTAGGTAATGATGTACACGCTGCCACTTGTATACTCTGTTCCCCTACTGATACTCTAAAATTCAAAACAACAAAATCACTAATTTTCGTGGTGGGGGCTAATTTTCGTTTGTTTGTGGTATAAAGAGACCAATGAACTTATGTCCTCCACTAAAAAATATAAAATTTCAAATGCATGTGTATATAACAACTCAACACTTCTTCAACAATGAAATCAAATTCTCATGAACCAATGTTTTTTCCTCAAACCAAGTAAATTTGACCTCACAAAAATAAGTGATTTTGCAGCATCTCCAACAACAATTGTTTAAGTTACAACATATATTTCAAAACTTTGATCTGAATGTTTGAAATACAAGTGAATAAATACATATCAGTAATTTTGTAAAATAATAATACAGCTCTGACACCCCTTCCAAAATAAAAGATAGAAAAAACATTTTTTGATTTAAACTGACCTGCCCTGGGACAGAAGAGGAAGCCAAGCAAATCCAACAGGTGTTTCTATATTGTCTCGTTTTTTTATGGAAGATGCTGAACTACGATTAGACTTTGAGCCTTCACAACTAACATGATAGAACCGGAATAATATATGATGTTTATCATGCAACTGTATAGGAAGAGCAATCTTCACCTACAACGCGTAAAATCAACATTCAAAGTTCATTGTAAATTAACTCAAACAAAATTGTTCTTCAAACTATCAAAACCAAAAAAAAAAAAAATAAATAAATAAATAAAATTAGTTTCATTTTGAATTGTAATTTAACTCAAACAAAATTGTATTCAAACTATCAAAAAAAGTTTTCTTTTTGAATTGAGGTATGCATTTTTTATTCGAACCCAGCAATGGAAATCTGCATAGAATGAGTTGAGTTTTTGAGAGCTACCTACCTCTTCTAAGAAGTCTGGTGAAGTGTTATGATGTAGAACTGTGGCACTAGCGACAGTAGTGAACACACCTACTTCTGGGCGAGCATAGATACGCTGTTACAGAAATAGAATTCAATAAAATTATTGACTAAGCTTTGCTAAATTTTCTGTTCAAAGACTACTTCAATAAAATTGAGTAAATAGATTAAATAACATATGCAGAAAAGACAGCAAATCAGATGTGGAAAATTAAACAATTTAAATTTTCCAGATAAATATATATGAACAAAATTGAATAATAAAGCATTTTCATCAAGTTACTTATAATATCTGTCATACCTTCAATGGAATGGCATTATCATCATCTGAATCTCTGATCTCTACACAACATGCAATATTTCTTGCCTGAAAACACCAAGTATATGTGCAATTACATGTAATAATGTTGTATATCAAATCACATAAATCTAAAATATTTCAGAATTGCTAAATTACAAAGGCTTACCTTTGTGAATGATTTTTGGTGTTCATATCTAAGGTTGATGGGATAAACATAAAGATGATTGACATAAGAATCAAATGTATCACAGAATGAGGCCCGATCTAGGACAAACTGTTCCACTTCTATAGCAGGGGGGTCTGGTGGGGGAATGGGAAATGGTTTAATTGGCACTAAAGATGAAGTCAATGTATCTGAAAACAGGAATTAAAATTTACTAATATAATAATAAATATCCTGCTAAAATGTAAATAAAAACTTAACCAATTATAACAAATTAAGAATTGCAATGCTCTTTGGTATCGTCCCTGCACACTTAGTTGATGGACAAAGCCAGGTAAAGTTTTGATTTTCAATTACAGTTTTTAAATTATACCATATACAAAATGTGGACAGAATTGTCTCATTGGTACTTCAAAAGTTACTCCATCTGTTCAATTATTATGCACGGACAATTAATGTAAAGAAACAATTTCAAACTTAAGAAATTTAAAATATAGCTATGTACCATATACCATTAAAATGGTTTGTATAGAGTATTACTGGTAGTCATGTCTCAGAAAATTGTTTTATATACAGAATTGTGCATCAGAAAGTAAAAAAACAGAGGTTCTGAGAGATTTCTATGTTCAAATGAATAGATTATTTTCACATGTACAGTTAAGGTATACCGGGTAGTATATAAAACATAACTGAATTACAGAAAACCAAAAATACCATACAAAGGATATAATTGTAAGTGCTGATATTAAAGTTTATATCTATAGAACCTACCCCATTTATAATATTCTAATAAAAAAGAATCAATGAAATTTATATTTCTTAGTGAACAAAACCTGTTTCAAAGGAAAGTACTGCTTGCACACTAAGTGACATTTGAAAAATTTCATATTTCTCAAAATTTGAAATTGTCACAATATTTGAATTTAAACTTATCATGTTCTGTTACACATGAAGGTGATAAATAAAATGGCATACTTTGTAAAGGTTGATCTGGATTGGTTTTGTGAATTGTAATTTTTAGGCAACCTGGAATCTCTTGAAGTTTTCCTTGTTTTTCAGGCCTGCAATGAAAAATAAATAGAATTACATGTAATAAAATAAAACCCATCATTTAATGGGTTGGTTCAAAGTTTATAGTTTGAAATTTTTCACTTATTCTTGCACATGTAACTCAAGTGGTCAGGAATGTCTATCAATTCATTCAAATATCAAAGACAGCACTCCTTCATATATTATGCCCATACTTTTATTCCTTTTGCTATTTTTAACTCCTTTACAAAAATGAAAGAATCATGCAATTTATTTGCAAGTTAACTTACTTTTTTAAGTCTTGGAGAACTTTGATAACTTCCTGTTCTGAAAACTTTGAGGCATCTTGTCTGTAAACTTTTAATTCTGCTGGACCATTTGTCTCAATGATCAATTGTCTATAACAGATATAATATCAATGCAGATTTATATACAAAATAATAAAACATAAATCATTATTTATATGAAATTCTAATACAATTTGTTTTTCAAAAGTTTCAGATACTGAATAGGGAAAAAATAACTGGCGGTGTAGATATTCACTAAATTAACAATGTTACTTAATCTTTGAATTCAAGAAACAGTGAATAAGTTTTCAATCAAATTACATTTTTTAAAAATATGAGTCCAGATTACTGGCCCCTATGAATTAGACAGTCAATCATGATCAGTAATCGCAAGTAGTACTTGTCATTTCATTATTTTAATTGCCATGTTTTCTTTGAATTCAACCCTTGGGCACTGTTGCCTATTTGTTTTCAGGAACATGATGTGTAACTCAATTAAAATAATTTTATTACTATCTTTTCAATATTATAAACTTACAAAGCAAAATGTTTTATTTTGTCCATGATTTATTTCAATGGCTGCAGAAAATGCACAAACCTTCATTCTTTTCGAACATTTCCGTGGATCAATATAATTGGGATCAAATCCGATGGAGGGGTTTTTTGAAAGGAATATTTCCATACCTCAACATGTTAAGCACAATTTGAATACTTTATTTAAACTCCTTAAACATATAGTTTCTGTAAATGACTGACAGGCATTGTATTATTATGCTTGAAATGTTGTCACTCTTCTTTGACAATGTACTAATGCAAACAAAGGGAAGTAACTTTTATTTATACAAATTCATGAATTCCCCAAACCGAAATCATGTCAGAAGAGAGAAAAACGTTAAAATTACAACCCATGGAATTAATCCCTTATACAGTAGTGTAATTTTCTTATGCTACTTTTATCCAAAAAAGTGTAATTAAAAGCTACATGTACGCTTAGACACAATTGCATATGTACGCTTAGACACAATTGCATATATAATTCTCTGAAATACTGATATACCAAGGCACCGAGTTTAAAGTAATAAGTACAGATTATATGGATGTGTTCTATCTGTAACAGTTTGCATAAGGTGCTTAAGTTGTAATAGTTTTTTCTCTTTTCAAGAATTCTATATTTTCTGCACTACAGTTGTTAAAATATAAATTGCATGATAAGCCTGAATAAAATAAATGCTTGCTTATTAGTTTAACATAAAATATGGGATCAACAACTCTAAAATTTAACAAAATTCCATTTTTTTCTGTTTCTGTCAGTCTTGAAACACTAGTACATACATTTATTATGTAAATACAAGTATATACATGTACTACAGAGATACAGAATCCGAAGAGAAAGAAATTGCTTAGCTAGTTATATCACCTTGCAGCCCATCCAAATGGCATTCTGTGATGACCGATTTGGGAACAGAACTGCCTCATCTGTTTGTAGACTTTGTTTCCAGAGGGAGCTTTTAAGTACTGATCACAGGCCTGAGATAAGGAGCCTTGGAGTACTTTCTCTATTCTCACAAACAAGTACACCTCAGCATGGCAGGAGGTCACTGAGAACACAGCCTGTAAATACATCATTAAAACCCATAGCCTCATAATCAAATACTTCCTGTAACCTCATCATCAAATACTTCCTGTAACCTCATCATCAAATATTTCCTGTAACCTCAACATCAAATACACCCTGTCAATTAACAACAAATACACCCTGTAAATTCGACTAAAATACACCTTGTAAATGCAGTATCAGAGATGACAAAGAATTCAGATTATGAAACATTAAGCACCCGTCACATTACATAAACTCTACTCTATAGTATACTCAAACAAATAACCTCTTTTCAATTCAAATAAATGAAAATCTGACCAAATATCATGATTTGTGTGAAATCTGAGCAAATACTGCGCATGTCTTACATGTCTGTCTTTTTTAAGCAGCCATTCCTCTGATAAGTCATGAAGATCTGGTGTAGTATTTCTGCCCTCTATAGAGTGTAATTTGTCTGAGGCTAACAAGACCTCATCAGGAACCATTTGTCTTATTTCCTTTTCATTGGGGTCTATGTAAAAATCCTCAGAGATCTTCTTTCCTTCTTTGGCATCATACAAAGCAAAACTCAGAAAGAAGGGCTCAGGCTGCAATTCAAATTATACTGAATTCAAACAACAGGTAACAACATTGACTTAACTAACACTAAAATCAGTTAACAATCTGTTATATGCACAACTTATAAATCTTGTAATAGTAGAAAATCTCTATGCAATCATGTTACACTGGTAATTGATTGATTTTTAGTTGAATATTAATCCTTACATTTGCAAACTTCTGACCAAATCCCTCCTCTGCCAGATTGACCTGTGTTTTAAGCTTAAAGTCCACCAGCCTCATCATGTAGTTGTCACAGATTGTGGCAGGGAATACCTCAATATCCTCTTGATTTTCATCTTCCTCTTCATCATCTTCATCAAAATGGAACCTCTGCAAAAGATAAAGATTTACCATGTAAAAAAAAATATGAATCCTCTATAAAAAATACAGACTGAAAGTAAATAAGTGATGAAGAAAGAACAGACTTACATTTTGAATTCTAAATGGGAACCTCAGTAGTAAACACAGACTTAGAAATCTATGGAATCAGAATCTTATCAACAACAAAAATTTCTAGTTTAAAATTGAAGTCACAATGTGTTATCCATAGATGAATAGTCAATCAAGACTTATTGCCTAAGACGACTCACAATGCCGGGATAAACTCGGAAAAGATTGTGCCTGTTTTCTTCTCGAGCTTTCGTTAACATATGATCACTTTCTCTGTTGTACTGAAAAAGATTTATTACAAGATAATTTGAAAATGTTAACTCGTCTTGTAAACTTTTGCAACATTCTAGTACAATCCCTTACTTTTAAAACCAAAGAAACATACACGACGAAATGAGGGGGGAGGGGGGTGTTTAAAGCTTTACCTTAGCTAGCTCTGGGTGCATGCTAATTTCTGGTTTTTCTCCAGACTTTTCAGGAGTTTGAACTTCCTCTACAGAAGAAGCATACATTTTAAGGTTAGAAAAATGATAATCCATATGCTGCAAATTATGAAACTAACATAACTGAAATTAAGCAAACTTAGAGTATATGAATTCAATCTGGGTTACAGTTACATGTTCTTTTCCATGTAAACATTAGATGCTGTTTCTGCAGCATTTATAGCTTTGTTCAATACTGCTTACCTCTGATCCTTTCCATAGAGACATTAGATGTTGTTTCCGAAGCATTTATAGCTTTGTTTAATACTGCTTACCTCTGTTCTTTTCCATAGAGACATTAGATGCTGTTTCCGAAGCATTTATAGCTTTGTTCAATACTGCTTACCTCTGATCCTTTCCATAGAGACATTAGATGCTGTTTCGGCAGCATTTATAGCTTTGTTCAATACTCTGATCCAATCATTCAATTCTGCCTCAGATTCAGCAGCAAACACATAAGGTGGGCGATCATTGGTGAGGACGACTTCAAAACAGTGTTTCCCTCTTTTAGAGTTCTGTAAAAGAACAAGAGAAATGATAAGTTGTATTAGTGTACTACATTAATTGATTCTCTTAGCATGACCACAGGGACTTTTTTTCTAAAATTCTGTACTTAAAGTATTTTCAACTAAATTTTTGCTCATGGAGACTAACAATGAATTAAAATAGGCTATATATACATTGTAATGTTTTTCAAAATTATTTAAAATTTTCAAAATCATTACTATTGACTTTTCTTTGATAAGAAAAATCTTTGTTTTGTTTTAGATTGTTTTATTTAAAGTTCATATTGTCTCAACCGCAATTGAGATAAAGAATTGTATTTCTACACATAAATTTAATTTATTGGTTGTTCAGTCAGTTGTCTGGTTTGAACAGGTTGACAACAGCCGAGAATTGCTCTATGAACAAAAGCTCCCCTAAAGACATAATGATACACAAATACAGTCAAACCTGTATTAAGTAGTCACCTGTGGGAACCATTAAAAGTGACCTTTATAGAGAGGTGACCTTTAAAAAGAGGTTCATGTTTTTTCAAGAAAAATTCTTTTCCAATTTATGTAAGTTCTGTATTTTAAAATACTACATCATAGAATATTAAAGAAAGATGTGGTTTGGACATTAATGGTCTCAGTAAGATTTTTTTAAAAAATTAAATAGTCTCAAAATTAAGTTCAAGATAAATTTGACGACTCTAACAAAAAATATAATTGAGTCTAATAGGGCATTGCATTTTTCTCCATCCAAACAACAAAATTTTCTTTTATGATAAGATTACATTATTATGTTGTGCCATGAATAAAATACAATGTATTATTTATCTGAACTTTCTCTAAAAAACAAGTTTAGTTAGTCCTGATAATTGTATGTTTAATAATACATAAATAGTAGCATTATAGACAGACAAGTCATAATATTCTCAGTTTATCAAAGCAGTGCATAATACAAATTGATATCAAATTCACAGGTGTTGTGGGCAATGAAGCGTGACTAATCCTAACGGTCGTCTTACCTTGTTGAAAATCATGAGAAGATTAGGACACATTGAGTATTATTAGAGTTTCTACAAATAATACGTTTCCTATGTGTTAAAACATCCTGCCAAGCGTTTACACAATTACACTTATCGGAGTTGGACATGTCAAACGTGAACTAATAATTAGAAAACACCTAATTATTGTATCCATTAATAGATAAATAAGGATGCCTTGTGTATCGCTCAAAATTTTTTAAACCAGATTCCAATTCAATAAGATTAAGATTCTTGTAAGTCCATTTTTCTGATAGCCTTTTCGGTCACTAGCACCCTTATTTAGTTTTGTTAAAAAAATAAATAAATTATCCAATATTTTAAATGGTTTTAAAGGCCAATTATTTATTCCATGATTTCGCTACACAAGACCAATTATTTACATTAGTGACAAAAAATGGGAGTCACCTGACTTTAGATCTGGTCACGTGATCGGACAAAATGGCCACTATATACGAGGTAAAACGGCGATTTTACATGAAATTTGATGACCGCTGACTGTGTTACACAGGTGACCGCTTATTAGACTTACATTATATAGGAAAATTCATTGGGAGGAAATAAAATGACTGCATAGGACAGGTGACCGCTGGATAAAGGTGACCGCTATGACAAGTTTGACTGTATGTAAAAAGATAGACAGTAATTCGTCTTCAATTTCTTTCATCAGGTTCAGACTGTGTTTTAGCCAAACTTCCCAAAATATAATCAGTTAAAGAAAATTTGTTTGCAGAGGTAAACAATGTAAATTGCAGACCCATATAAATGAGAAATCTTTCATTAATGCAGTGAAAATTGCTACTGTTGATGGGTATAAGTGAAAACAGAATATCTCCTTACTGGTCTAGCCTCAGTTGCCAAGTCCAGAAATATGGCTCCTTTAGCATCTGTTTTTCTCTCATCTTTGTAGAACTGTAAACTGTACGTGAAGTCCGTCTCTTGTTTCAGTATAAAATATCTCTTCTTGAATTGCTATAAGATAACCAACAAAGTCATTAACCTAACAACAACTTTTTGTGCATCGTATCAACATTCTCTCCATAATTTTTCTACAACAAATCAAATGTTTTCCTAACCTACAGATAGTTAAAATCTATTTAAAATATTTACATGTAAATAAAAATGTTCTTTATCATCATTACTTTTCATAATGTTGTATTGATTTGTACATTGTATTTATGCAGACTGTCTGGATTACCCTTGTAAAACTAATGATGTTTTCTTTGCCTCCGTCTGGACCTTTATATAGCCAGCCTGTTTTCTGGATCCTGGCCGTCAAACTCCTTGTGTCCTATAATACAACAGTGATGGATCATTTAACATTGTAATGATTGTGAAGTGTACTGTTGCTAACTTCTCTGACTTATACATTACCCAGACAAATCATAGTAATCTACTTTTTGTTAGATTTGACATATAATCTCCAAAATATAGAAGAAATAATGAATTATCAGTGCAATTAAAATATTTCTTCTGAGACGCCATTCAAGCTTTATCAAAGCCTAAATATAAATCTTAAAGTACACACACACAAAGTGTTCTCCTATATAAACTAAATTACTTATTCATGAACATGTAAATGATCAATATATAAATAGTACACAAGGTCCTATAAACCAAGACATTGACCTTGTGTCTATAATTTATGACTGATGACACATTCATGCATAAACATTAATGGCCATGTAGTTTTATTTTTATACAGGACCTGGCAGCACGACACTCAGTCACTGATACATTTTTGTGTATATGAACTTATAAATAATATATGCCCACCTCATCACCCCTTTCTTCTGGTTCAGCATCAATCTCAAATGTGTGCTGTGGTAGAGGGTCTGTATTCTTGATACTGAAATAAAACAGATCTATCAACCTCATAGTCAACATGTTACTGAAATAAAACATTTATCAACATCACATAAAACAGGGCTATCAACATCTCAGTCAACATTATAATGAAATAAAATATTTATCAACATCACACAAAGGAGAGCTACATGTATCAACCCCACAGTCAACATGATACTGAAATTAATCATTTATCAACATCACATAAAGCAGAGCTATCAACATCTCAGTCAACATGATACTGTAATAAAACAGCTATCAACATCATCATGATCATAGTCAATATGATACTGAAATGGAACAGAGATTCTGCTTAGGCGTAATAATAAAATATGTTTGTTCACGGTTACATGCTGAAATAAGGTCGGTAGGTAGGATTTTTTTATTTTGTTTTATTGAATTTTTTTATACAAAAATTCACATGAATTGGTTGAAATACAAAACAGTTTTACCATTGTGTGGTGCTTTACTTAAGTTTTTGGGCTTGCCATATGGGCAATAGACACAAACATGTTGGTTTAAATATTAAACATGCCATTTTGATTCTAGTACTTTCGATTTCAAACGCTTGACCTATTAAGATGCATGTAAAAGTTAAAGTAACCAGCAAGTGACTTCAAGATTTTTACGATGAAAAAAATTTGGGTGGGGGATAAAATATAGGGTCAGTCGGGTAACCGTAAACAAACATATTTTTTTATTACGCCTTATAATGATTTTTTTTTTCTTTTTCACCAAAAACAATCATACATATATATATTTAAAGGATTCCACAAATTATGTGTCCAGAGTAAAATAAATTTGAACCTTGAGGTTTGTTTTAACTATCTTTTATAGTAGAAGAGACATCCTGAGATGTGTTACTTACTTGGGGAGTTTCTCATATCGTCCAGCATATGCACTGTACTTGAACCTGACAATATGACAACTGTCTGTGTACGATTTTATACACTGTCGAAGCAACAAATCTTTGGCTTCATCCAATGCTGCATCAGGAACAGTTGAGTACAGTGTTCGCATCCTTTTAGGAGGATTTGGGGGCTAAAATAATATCAAAGTGAAACACTTATTTTATATTATTTACACAAGTCGATATACAGCTGAACTTTGGTATCTCAAACACTGATATCTTGAATACCATGGGTATGTTGAAGTGACTTGGAAGTCCCAACTGCTTATTCCTTAAGGTATCTCACCCTGGATATCTCGAATCCTCGGATATCTCAAAATAATTATTTGATCCCACAGCGTTTGAGATAAAGAGGTTGACTGTATATTCTGACATTAGGTAATTTTGACCATAAGTTGTATGTGTGTATTTATAATCTAAATTTACTGATTGAGGAAACAATAACCATTCCTGATGAAGTTTTACTATTTCTACTGCACGTTAATACTTTATAAATTCAGCATACATGTGAATTCAAAAATTATTTCTGATTCATTGTTTTCATTCCTACACCCCCCCCCCCCCCCCACCCCTTTTTAAAAAAATTACACTACTGCTGAGAGGCAATTCTTACCGGAATGATGATGTCGTCATAAGGGAATGTAAGCATCTCCCTCTGGGGGTCATTGTGAAGAATACTCTTATTCTTGGCAATATAAGTCTCATAGTCAACGGGGTCCACCTGTTTTGGTCTGGCCTACAAAACAAATTATAATCCTCATTGTAAGAATAAAACACAGTTCCAGTTTGTAATGGAATTCTGCAATACATACATTACGTCTCAAAAACTGAAACTGTGACATTTTGTTCTATATTAGAAAAGGAACTCATGATCCCACAGATAGACTATAAACAAAAATCTACTCCGAGCTACTGAGAAACAAACAATTGGCGGAAATATGTGACAATGATTACATGTCACTGACTGCTGAGAACTTTTGTTCAAAGGAAGTAGATCGTGAATATAATGAAGCAAAACATTACCGTAATAATGTACATCTCCAATCAGTCATTTAACTGTTACAATTTAAACAGCTCGACCTTTTAAAATAGCTATTTTATTTTTACTTCCTTCCTTAAAATTACAGTTTTTGAAAACAAAAACAGTGAGCAAATAATAAACTTTCCCTCCATCAATAGGGAAATAGATACAGGAAGTATGTCAACACAGTATAAGGCAGGGTTTAAGTGGGGCTTTGTTCTCACAAGCTAAAGTCAATGTTTTATTCTTCAGATTTGTTACACCATGTACAATAGTTCATTGAATATCAAGATCAGGAAAATTGGATTCCAGGTAAATTATTTTTACTTTTTGATTACAAATTCAAAATACCTTTATGTGCATTAAATATGTCCATGTATTTATGTCTGCAAGTATAATAGTATATGGATGCTTTTGGTACAATTATGAAATACATGTAGTTACATATAATTAAAATGAACACTCTGCATTCAAGAATCTGAGCTTTATAAGAAATACTATTAATTATTTTGAACCATACACAAACATTTTCCTGATGATGAGATACTTAATGTTAACACTCTCACTTCCGAAACAGATATGTAAAGCAGTATATTAAGTTTGCATGTAAAGTTAACATCAATCAAGAAAAAGCTATCATCTTAACCATCATTCATAACAAATATAACTGTGCACACATATTTTCATTAAATCTGAACAAGATTTCCTGTGTATGGCCATACCAAAATGTACATACTGATGAGGTGATGGCTTACAGGCCTACAGCAAGCATGACAGAGATCACATCTTTGTTTTTCATCAAATTTCTATATGCAGTTTAATTTTCACTGCTGTTTTGTGCTTGCTGTTTTTCGTTTAAGTACAAACCCCCGAGATAAATACAGAACTGAAAATAACTTTAAAATGGTAAAAGGAAAATAAAATTGCAAATTGGTGTTATTTCAAATATGGAAATAAGAATGAGTGAAATCAAAACTATGACTATAGTTGTGAAAAAAAAAATGTATTCTTCATGCACCTGCTGGCCACAATCAATACCTGAAACGTCATAAAACTTGCACTATACAAGCGCTGAAAGTAAAAACGTTGTGGTATACTTCTGCTTAATCTGATGCATAACCAATAAAACCCCAAACAATCCTGTCAATACACTTACTCTTGGTCTCTGACAAGATCTATAATCCCCTAAGAGAATCTACATGACATGCTGTCTTACTGCACACTAATACTGCTCAATTCTTTAGATTTCTTGATTGCATAATTAACTGGCTCAATACACAAAATAGTATATAGCCAATTATTATTTTGTTTAAGCAAAGTAATCAGTAATTTTTTTTAATAAAGAGATTTTACTTGGATCCAATGCTACGGTAAATCTACTCAAATGTAAAGGTGTTGTACATATATTGTACTCCTGACATCAAATTTTGTCTAAAATTTGATTTACTTTAAACCAACATAAATGAAAGTCAGCTAATTACAGAAAAGATATTGACATCAGGCACGGATCCAGGAATTGAAGTTAGAGGGGGCGCCAAAAGTAGGCAGGGGGTCTGGGGGCCACTTTGAGGTCCCCAGTGGGTCCAGGGTGAAGCCCTGGTGGGGGCCCAGGAGGCGAAGCCCCCGGAAGCTCCTGGATTCTAGAGATTTTGTAGGGTAAAAATGAGGTTAAATCTGCCACTGGATATTTATATAACTTTATTTAAAGCAGGTATTTCTAAGCTTTGATCCTTTTTTTGGGTCTATATATAGCATAGTTGACTGTTCATTTTTCATGTAAATAATGGAATAAAATATACATTAAAACATTTCAAGGGTTCCAAGATACCTTGAAATTCCTCCCTGACCTTAATACATTAATGTAGATTATTTTGTATTACAACAACAAATAACTCCTCCAGTAGATAATATCTAGTTGCCTCCTACACTTGAGATGGTATCCATTGGTATGTATTCAGTGTATCCAGAATGATTTAAAGTACCATGTGCGTGATGCAAAGATACATTTCAACAAAGATGATCATATATACTACAGTCATGCCAGACCTCTGTTTTCAAGTTGTATAAAAGAAATTCACATTAACATCTAAGCTTTCATCAGCTTCACCATAAAGCTTGTAATAAACTAAAAATGAATTTGTTTATTTGAGATCTAAACCTTCCATATTCTCCTCTGCATATGCTCAAATCCACAAGCTTTAGATTAACAAATGACTATTTTTGGATATGCCTTTGCTACATTTTAATAAATTATAAGACAAAAAAAATTAAATGATTAATATATTTGCATTCAAGAGAAAATACAGTTAACATGAAAATCTAAAACAGCATTTATTTACATTTCAAAAAAAGTCCCATGAAATACTGATGTTTGACTTTATGTTCGGAGCGGTCATTTATCTAAACAAGACTGCTTGATTGGAATATGAAAATGTACGTAATGCTACAGACTGTGTAATGTAATTCATTACTTTAACAAAGTAATTGTAATTTAATTAATTACTTTTCTGAATGAAAGTAATGGTAATGGTAATTGTAATGGTAAATTCCAAAGTAATTGTAATTTAATGCATTACATTTCAAAGTATTGTATGTGTACTTAAAAAAGCAGGCTTCATATTTTAGCGGCTTTGGCACAGACAACAATGCGCTTATTCATGAATACCACTAAGAAATTGTTTACTTATACAATACACGGCAGGGACATGTGTAGTGCTAATTCAAGATTACGCCAACAACTCCATACCCCTTGATTGCGCTAAATTTTGAATGCGCCAATTTATGTACAAGTACAGTAATTGACCCCAAGTCAGACTACAGTTGAACTTCAGTATCTCAAACATGGATATCTTGAATACCATGGATATAGGTCAAAGTGATTTGAAAGTTCCAAGCACTTTTTCTTTCAGTGTTTTACCCTCAATATCTTGAACCCTCTAATATCTCAAATTTATTCTTACATGCAGTCCCATCGAGTATGAGATAACGAGGTTTGACTACATTGTTTCAATTTGTCTGTTGGTCTTTCTTTAAACAAATATTCTATCCAGTGGTGGGAAGAGATGTTCTTTCCTTTAAAATAAAAGTAAATTATAAGAATCAAAAAATAGCAACAAAGAGGGGAATCTATTAAAATATTTATTATGAAGACCATAGAATGGATCCAAACAACAAAAGGTATTGTTGAACATAAAATGCAGATCAATCTTACACACACAGACAATAACGACCATGGTCCTGCAAAAAATAAATAAAAATTGCTTTATTTCCCCTGTTTTATAGATAGGCCAAGGAAAAAATTCCTGATTTTTGCTGAGAGTTTTTGGGCTGTTATGAATTATGCCTGGTGCATGCTGGTACGTAACCTTAACTACATGAACAACTTTTATGAAGTGCTATGATGGAGTGACTTTCATAGGTGTGTCGGGGGAAAAGCCCACTATAACAAAGAAAAGATAGAAACAAACAACAGGTTAATGAAAACAATGATAAATCAAAGAGACAGTTAAAACAACTAAACACAAGTATAACATCATAATAAAATATTATCTAATCCCTATCATTTCTATAATACCTGTCTCCATTCAATAAGCTGCGAGTTCACCAGAGAAGCTAAGTACACCACTGCCATGCTGCAGTCAATACATATATATAGGTATTAAGTATTTTGTCTCCTCGTATCTACATCCTCCATGAAATACAACTTTTAACACATTATAAACATTCCAGTACCACTACAATGCTTTGTGTTCTCTAACAACTGCATGTAAAAATCCTGTTTCTTTTTTTTGCATATAATGAAAGAATTGTTTACTCTTTCATCTAAAAACAAAGGTATATGAAATTTCCAACTGGCATCAAACTTTCATAACAGAATTCCAGGCAGCAAGCAAGAATCATCAGAAAACACCGTTTTAGCATTAAAATGCCTGACCAGAAACCTGCTACATCTTCCTTTCTATTATGACACAGATTCCTGGTGAATTCTTTGTAGGATAAGGTACATGTTTAATGTGATTTAGTCATTATCAATGCACGCTTCAGGATAGTTGATCAGTGATGGCCAATATATCACAGGTTAATTATAGTCCACAGTATAAACACTCAGGCCTTTGTGGACTATTGTTAAATCACTTCCAAACATCAAAAAAATCATCAAAGATTTTATTACATGTATTGCAAACCAATATAAGCCAGACTTCATTTTTCATGAAAATACAATATGAACAGAGAACATGACAATACAGTTGTTGTATCATTTTCTGATGCAGTTTCCAATAAAGTTCCCAATGATTTGCTGCTAATAATGAAAATTCCACACACATTAACCAGCTCAAATGTACACTTATATAGACAATTTCAGGATTAAATTCAAGTCATAAATGACTCCTAACTATGCTAAAAAGCAGAACAGATTGGTTTCCGTCACCATGTGGTCTACTAAAAATCTTCAGACTTGTCATAAAAATACTCTTGAGCCATGTATGTTATAGCCTTATATTGACATCATAAAAATGTAAAATAGTATAATACATATCATTTTAAGATACAAATATTTAACTGAAATGTCCTTTCTAAAGCCTAATACTATATTGCTTTACAAAAGGAGATTTCTTTCATATTTTGGTTTAATTTTTTTCAAATGCTTGCTTTTTGCAATGGGGCTGGGTGAACACCTTACAGATCATTAACTTTCCCTCTAACACCATGCCCCT